CTGTCCCAGATATCTACTGGCCAAGTATCATTGCTGTAGGCCTCTTGGTTATTAAGAAGTTGTTTAAAGGATTTTACATATTTTACCCCTGTGACATTGAAAGTAGGTCAAGGTAATTTATTTGAGGAAATTTAATAGCACTCTGTCCAAAACACCTACTGGCCAAATATCATGGCCCTAAGGTCCTCCAGTTCTTAAGAAGAAGTCGTTCAATAAAACAAGAGGCCCATGGGCCTTAACGGTCACCTGATATATTTNCGACAACGGACAACACACCAGGCCATACCATAAGCTCTTAAAATGAGCTAAAAATAAGACAGTAAAACAGTATTATACCAAGAATATGAACAAAAAACAGGCACCTACTTCAAAAACTGATATCCAAAACTCAAACTCAGTAACACAAAATGATTTTTTCATAGCACTAATAATTTTACAACTATATAAGCTCAGTCTGGTAAACATTTCACAGGTCAGCCTGAACCACTAATAACTTACATTACTTTAGTGAGTTTGAGAATAACTACAGGATGGTTTGATCATTATGGATTTTCTGTTACCTTCGACCAAAACAAAAAACAAAATTCCTGACGATCGTACCATTCCATGTTGTCAAAATACTGTAAAAAAAAAAGTGTTTTTCACCCTATAATTTCCCTACATTTCTTCATTAGAATTTTCAGAAAAGCACCATCATAAATGTGCACAACTTTTACATTTTCCCCTTTCAACCACACTTTGACTCTGACAAAAGGTTGGGTCATATTTATACCTGCCGAGAATTTCTGTTGACTGTTAAGTAGTCAATTATCCTCAAAATTAATTATTATAGCTGATTATATAACCAACCAGAAACATTTTTTTCAAACAGGTTTACAAAAAGGTAGTTTGTACTTTTTGCATTATGCAATAAATTCATTACTGAATTTGAATGTGTAAATTGACCTCTGCCCCGACTCGACTACCACCAAGGAGTGATTACTACTTAAAGTTCAAAGCTTCTTGTTTTGATACGATAAATATTCGATCCTCACTTAAAATGTAAAGTAGGAGTTAATTGTTAGTGCTGGGAATTGGTCAAATATTAAAAATCAATTATCAAAATTAGATCAACCATTACATTGACTTATTAATAGTTGATATTTGTGCAAAAAGCTGAAAACATTAAAGTTGTATGCTACCTTATTTAAACCTACTAATATGTGTCTTAGACATGAACCTTCGATTCTTCGTCAGAAAATTGACTGAACTGAACAACTTTTAATATCAGATTACTCCAACCAATGTTTTATTCGTTTAACCTGATGTTCCAATGTTGAATGACACTGGTATGTAGCTCAGTCTACAGTAAATATATTAGTTTTATCTTCAATATACAATCAGTACTTTAAACAACCTTAATATCTCTGCAATATCAGTATTATAACTGTGTACTTTATGAATTACTTATCACAATGTACACATGTAAAACAGATTTACATCAAGTCCACGACCCAGCAGTACAGATAGTGTCTATTGTTGAAGGAAGAAACCTGCTGGTTTCATTGGCCCGAAGTAATACACACATGTACAGACGGATCAATAGTATAAGTTACAAATTGGTTCTTCTACCATACAGAATCTACCATCACCTCTACCAATTTTTTTTTTTTATTAGTGTCTGTTCATTTGTAAATGTTTACAAATACTGTTTGATATATGTCAATCAAATGATTTACTTAAAATAACATAGTCCTGAGGCCAACAACAAATTAACAAATATCTGTTTATCCTATCTACCCTATATTTTGTTGCCAATCAGAACCTTATAGTCACTGTGACCTTGCCCAGTTTTTGACTATCAGGATTTTGCTCCAGATCTAACGAATATGTGCCTACCTGTTTGGTCTATCTTTGGGGAGGTGTGGGTAGGGGTGCTATGTTATTATCATCAGCTTATCCTATAATTGCTGGTTAAGAAGGTCTTGTTTTTCAGATTTTCATTAAGTAAAGTCATATGTATACATAAAGTCTACTGGTCACAGTGCTAGTATTAGCCATCTAAAATTTAGGCGAGACCAAGGCAGGTAATAATACTGATATCAAATTACCAAGGTAAGTTATCTTTCAAATATTTGGAGTCCCATGAATTTTTTTTTTTTTTGCTTAAATTTGAAAAAGAGACATGTCAAATAGAGCCATTGGGTGTTATGTTGCACATTTACTGAAAAGTCAAATGGACAAAGAATGCAATGGAGCAAGGCGTCCCTAATACTCGTCACATCATCTTCACTACCTATGATGGACTAACTAGAAGCTTGGATGTGATTCTCCGATTATTACGAATGATTTGACTGGTTGATTTACAGGCTGCCATTCCCAGCCTGTATGAATGGAGAAAAAGGAGAAAAACTCCGTAAAATGTTCATTCTCCCCTTTCAAGTTAAATCTAGAGAATATCTGCCTCGAACTATTCTCCTCTTTATGTCTTTTGTCAATGCAATTTTATCCTTCATTTGAAAATTGAGTGTTCAAGCAGAAATAACATGTTTGTTATTCATTAAAATTCCCCTCAGTTGATTACTTTTCCGTATAATTGGAAAAAGATAGCTTCCCCAAAATCACAGACAGCAGGTTTTGGCTGCAGCTGTCATCATCATTGATGGAGCGTTTAACAGAATGAGTGTTCATGCAACTCGTACAACATCTCCAGTCATCAACACGATAGCCTAGCTAAAAAGGCTGATGACAGCAAAATTGGTGATCACACGAAAACTCAAGAGGACAAAAATTACTGCTGAAATGTAAACAAAGTCTGTATACATGTAGAATGGTAAATATTTAGGGATATAATCATCCAATTTATCCATAGCAGCCTCATCAATTCACACCCTGTCAATAGCACTAAATTAATTTGCATGTTACCAATTAAGAGACATCTATATAAATGGGCAAGTAGAAGTACATGCAGTGTAAGCTTGTCAGCGACTTGGCTGCCTTTGATATAGCATGAGGATATATTGCCTTTGTAATCACGAATCCGTGTGACATGCCGATCAATAATCGGAGAGGTAGGGCAATACAAACGTCTGCACACTGTCTCCTTATCTGCAGGCCTTTTTTTGAGGCATTACTTATTAATCATTATATATAATTAGATACTGCACATTCTCTGTGATTAATAATATCCCCCTAAATTTACTTGTAGGTGTAGTACTCTTGGGTCTAGATCCGATACAAATCAATATCACGAACTCTTCACCACATAAATAACACCACAGTGCCCTTCAAACGCACTCATGCTTAATGGTCGCATACTTCAATAACCTGACGGGGAATAACTTGCCAAAACTAACAGCAAAACTGCTAGAAAATCAAATTTAACTATGTTTATTAAGTGTGATTTTTGCACTTAATAGCTTGAGTATGTTAAAAGAAAGTTACATTCTAGTAAAATGTCTGTATATGGCTTTTAGAGAGCATGAATAATATGACCTTGAAGATTTTTTCTGAAAATGTCTGAACTGTGAAATGTTAGCTGAAATATGCCTAGAATGCAGGAATTTGCATCTATAATTTCAAAGTTTCCTGTATGAGACCCTACCCACAGCTTCTTGTGGCCTTCAACACCAAACTGCAACCTACCCTACTTCGGTGTCAATACCAAATTTTCTACCAGAGACCCTTACACATGATCCCCTTGTGGACAGGGGGCAATAGCCCGTAACCTTCCCCACTTCATTGCTAAGGATATCGGCTGCTGCCTTCTATATGAGATAATATCATATTGTTTTGAGAAGAGATAGATTTATTATCTCATTATAAAGAACTCCAGAATTACCTTTGTTTATGGCAATAAAGACTTCAAAAATATTTCATAGAAATGGGATGAGTAATTGTCTTGGAAAATATATTTTGTGGCTTTACTGTGAAATGACCTTCAAGAATGGTTAGAGGATTTTTGAAGGTCGACAATATAGCTGTACAACTACATTGTGACCTTGTTTCTGATGGTTCATATTGATCTCTTCTCCCTATCCACCATTAGTAATAATCTGAATTGGACGTCAGACCTTGTTCTTATCACATGCTATAATGTGGCATGCAGGTATTTGATGCGTCTTCTTTCCCCCCACATTTCTGACAATTCTCACTGTGACATCATAATTAAAACAACACATATGACGTAATTGTATAGTGACATCACATTTTAAGGCAACAGATATAAATGATATGGTGTCATTGAGGATCTGAGGTCCTAAGTCAGATACAAGCTTTTCTGTCCACAAATAATCACATACATTCTTGGTTGTGTGACAAAACAATATTAATGAACTAGTATTTGTTCTGGAATACATTAAGCTGACAGCAGATCTAGAGCCTCACTAAAGTGAAAACTTCTTATACTCATTTCATAAAAATCTCATAAGAAATGATTCTCAATAAATATCCTAAATACAAATACCATGTATTACCTAATCAGCACTTTGTGTGCTTATACAAATGTAACTAGTACTTAGGGAAACTTAGAATGATTAAGAGAACTTTCAGAATTCTTTTAAGAAAGGCTGTAATGGACTCTTTTGTTCAGGTTAAGCCATAAGTTAGTGTGAAGGAATGGAACACTCGGATCATAGAACGATAGGGAACACCCACAAATGATGAGTGTTTAATCTTCAGTTTATCAGGTCAAATATGGTAAACAAATTTAACAGGGTAGATGTACTTGTTAGAAGTGGTTCCAAATTGTAAAGGTTTGGGATATTTTCTTTTGTTTATTAGAAATAAATATTCCATTTACAACTGAACAACTTGTAAAATTGTGATTGGAATTATTTCAAGGTAAACTGACAACTATTTTATAATTTTGCAATTTTGTAAAAATGCCACAATATTTTCAAAATTGAAAAGGCACAGGGGGATTGGTAAAAGGATGAGAAATAACTGGTTGGGATTAAATTATTAAAACCAATAATTGGAAAAGATTTAAAACTAACATCGCTACAGTGGACAATTCTTACCTCATTGATGAAGAGACGCCATCTGTTATCATGACAACCAGCTGATGCACAGTTTTCACCCTCCTCAGGGAGTTCCCTAGGACCAAACATCCCAGAGCATATGTGTCATTTGTCGCCAACGTCACAAATGCTCCCTTCTCACCTGTGAAAACATATGTATATATATATAGAGTCAGTGTCAGCAATATTAATATTTTCCATGAGACAGGTAATATTAGAGGTACATCATACCGGAATATTTAGGGTGATATGCAGACTTTTTTCTTACTATTTTTGAAATGAGGTATATGGCTTTGGAATTCAGACAAACTGCATAGCGGTTTGCCAAACTGGATTTTTTTAAAAACTAAAAACCAACAGACAGTATTGATTTTCTTTTAAAAGACTAAAACATTCTTATTTATAAAATATTTCCTTTTAGATGTTGCTCTGTCAATCCAGGAACAAAATGGCTGCAAACAAGATCGTCGCAGGGCGGAACAATATACGCCCTTCCCATGCCAATCTGACATACTATAAATCCCTCTGATGCATTATGGTATCTAAATGTGTAAAAATATGGAAATGTAAGGAAAGGAAACAGTTGAAATTTATTTCTGGATTGTGTTGAAAGGAGAAATCATATTGTACCTTACAACTTAAGCTGAAGGAATAGGTTTCATTTATAAAATTAATTTTCATAGGAATTGTCTCCCTTTGTATATATATATTAGTTCAAACTATGAAACTAGAAATCTGTTTTGCCATTAATCAATTAAATTTGCACCATTTAACCCCAAGATAATTCTTTTAATCGTTAATTATTGGCAGATTTTGTTATAAGACAAAGTGTAAATATTGACCAACTTTCATCAGAATCCTGTCATGTTTCACCAAGGTATTGTGCAGCAACCGTAAACCAATGTGTGTGTGTACAGTATGCTAATTGATTTTGCTCAACTTCATACTTAGCTTCAGTCTTCATATTATGTATATGCACACCAAGTTTTATCAAACTGATTGTTATCTAAGCAAGTTATCTTGCAGAAGCTTAAGTTTCGAAATTAACTAATCAGAGCATAGAATGCTAAATAAGTATGCACAGATTTTGACAAACTTCGAACTAAGTCTCGGTCTTTGTATAATGTTCATGCATACCAAGTTTTATAAAAACTGAGTGAAATTTAAGGAAGTAATCTTTAGGAAACCGAAGTTTGGAGGGACTGACACTCCCCATACCATACTGTGTAGCTGTTAAAATGTTTGACAGGCATATAAGATACCCTGATATGATATCTGTATAATACAGGATGTATTAACTTGACCTCTGATCCTTAGTATATATATATATATGGCCTTGAACTTCACAAGATGTAATCCTATAGGCAGCACTCAAATCATCATTTTGATCTGTAGGAGACATTCCTTTTTTAGCAAATTACTTTTAACATATTACAGTAGTGAATATTACAAAGGATGCTGCAAATTCCTTCTAAAATTGTTTCCAATTGTTTTTCGGGTTTATGATTTACAATCTTTTCTTCTTCCGTCAACTATTAATAATGTGAAAACAAAAGTTCTTGAAATGTAAGTGATTAAGTCATCATAACTAAGCTGCCAGTAGACCTATCAGATACACAAGCTGAACACCAAACTTACCATGTGTTCATTTAGCCTCTTATGTAATCAATTACCTACAACAGGTATCCTCTTTTGTTGCACTGTGACTCATTTGATTTTTATCCTGTCTTTCTATTGAAGTACAAGTGTCAACCCTTTTTCCTAGTCATTTCTTTAAGACTAGATTCACCCACTGAGCCATAGAGCTGTCACGATACACTTTACCCACGATTCAATACATTTAAGCATTGAACTGTTTTTGTATGGTATTTATGATCTATTTGAATGACACAGCTTGCAAGCAAACAACATAATGCGCACTAGCGCATTATGACTTGTTTGCTTGCAAAGCTGTGTCATTCAAATAGATCATAAATACCATACAAAAACAGTTCAATACTTATATTTACATTTTCTCTGCCCCTTATGTTCTTTTTTAACTTATAATTTATATTTAAAATTAAAAATGCCCGCCTTATCGACAGTCCACACAATTTCGATCAATAGTTTGAACAGCGTATTGTCGCGTGCTGATTGGCAAACAAAGTAGTACTTTGAAANGAAATTTAACGTCTCACATATCCAGATATCCAGAATCCAGAAAAATATATCGTGAATCAAATTGAACATAAATAATCGTGTTACAAGTGCATCGCGGTGAATCGTGACACCTCTACTGAGCCATAAACTCACAGTTGCATGGCTCTATATGTCGTTGCCTTTGGATACTGTATACCAGGACATTTTTCATTACAATTTTTTGTCAATTTATTGTTACAGCAGGTATTTGTATACAACCTAGTATATATGTATACATACATAAAATATAAATGTAAAGGGCAAATTTAATATTGAGAAAAATAGGATTTTACTGTTGAAGGGTGAACATTTGAATGGGTGAAATTTCCCTGTATAGAGTATTCAATAGTCATTAAAATGTTTTCCCACATTTGATCCAGCCTATGACCTTAACATGGTCATAAATATGAACAGAACAAAACTTCAGGCATTAGTACACATGTGTTTTATTTGTTTTTATTTGTTTTTATTCAATGAAGATGAATTGTTATAGACATTTGACTATTGTAACCTTAACCCTTTCACCACTGTAGACCATATTGGACTCATCGAGATCAATGCATGGTGGAGTCTACTAAAGTTACACAGGGGTGAAAGGGTGAAAAGGTGTCAAGGTCAATAATTTGAATAATCCACTCTTTATTTTACTCCAACATGCTACAGATCAAATAGCATAACTACTTAAGCATCTTGGTTACTCAGAAGTTTTTTTTTAAATGTTTCACACATTGACCCCTGTGACCTTGAAAGTGGATCAAAGCTATTATAAATGGCTCTTTTATGTAGGCAAACCTGATATCCCTTTCATTCTAGCAAATATATATATGTCAAAAATCATTACCCTAACCCTTGTGGTTAATTATAAAACAGTAAAACCATGATGTAATGCCACCCGTTAAACCTGCATACCGCCATTAATTTACTCAGAACCCAAACGTTAATGCACCCGTTGTAACGCCAAATCTGCATACCGCCATCTGCCATCATATTACCAAAACAAATGGTTAAAATCATACTATTTTGACCTCGTTAAATACTGCCAATTTGAGTCAAGTACAGGTATATGCCAATGACAGGAATGTTACGTAGGTGTGTACACATGAAATCGTCCAAACCATAACTAGACATAAGTTTTACTGCAGAAATTATGATGAATAAATCTCACTTCTGCAATTTATTTACTATTGTGTTTTTTTTCTTCATATTGGAAATGAACAGGCCATAGAGAAGACTCACTATTTTGACGACATCGTTTACGGTAGGTAGTATACCACGTGACGATGCACAGCCAGTGATACCAGAGATCCTGGATGCAAAGATGGCGATCGACACCTTTGTTAGATATTTAGAACACGAGGAAAATACAACAGAGTCAGACATTCAGAAATGTTTAGCGATACAGAATTTCGTGCAGTCAATCGGACAAAACACGGCAAGACAATCGACCATCAGTGATTTATTTAGTGTCAGATCTAGTGTGTAACATTGACTGGTTATGTAAGTACATGTACATTCATGTACTGTGTGTAAAACTCTGCATTGACATCGTCGGGATATCACAGCATAATTAATCTTTATTTGCGTGCGACACTTCTATACAGATAGTGATTATGTTTTGCACGCTCACCAGTTTGATACATTAAATTACAATTTTGGAAAAAAATCCTATTCTGAAGTTTATTATTAATTTTTTAATGTATTAGTTCAGTTGGTGTGTGAACACTTGGGTTCCAAACGGTAAACCCGATAATAATTACCGCCACACTCATTATACTGCCAAAATCCCAGAGGTCAGAAGGTGGCAGTATAACAAGGTTTTACTGTAATTAGGAGCCATATGCATTAAAGGTTTTAACACATTTGACCTTATGAACTTCAAAGAGGGTCAAGGTTATCTCCTTTGAACAGGCCTCCATAACCAATCATCCCAGCATGTTACAGATCAAATATGATGAACACAGACTTTAAAGATATTGAAAAAAAACAACTATAATGCCAAATTAAGTGAGTTTTAACAAAATATCCTGATAAACATTTAATCATTATTGATATATGTTCCCATTACAAACAACTTCCACATAATATACATTGTTATAAAAGTTTAAAAAAAAAATGGCTTTATCTTCTTAGTTGTTATCGCATACAGTCTGTGCGATTGCATAACAAGATAAAACACTGCATCAGAATGTTTTTAGACCAATGCATTTTTGCTTTATATGCATTCAAGTCCTTATCTGCTTACCTACAAGTTTATTCTAATGACCCAACACGATGTGAATAATAACCGACAAGAAATATCATAGATATATAAATATAGGTACAGAGAAAATCTTTAAACTTGTATTTTTTCCAGTCAGTCAGTTCATTCATGCTGGCCTATTCACTGTCTCAGTCTTGACAGCTGATACACAATCATGTGTATTGATTTGTTGTACCAGGCCTACTCTATTAGTCTATAAATATAAAGATGAGAAAAGTCATATTAAAGGAATAAACAGCGGAAACAAAGCTTCAAATTGCTGTGTTTGTCAGTATAATCGATCAAAATACCTAACAAGCAAGCGTGACTGTCCTCACGTGTCCAAGTAGGACAAGGACACTCTCTACAAGGTCAACCGTCAGTTAAAGTGAAAATAGAGAGCCCGCTACATTACGTTATACACGAAACGTACTTCATGGATCTCTTTCAGCGAGATGCAGTTCGGAATCAAAGAACTAATGCAGTTTATCTGTTTCTACACACTGTCATACCTATTCTCATGAAATGTCCATGCATTCCGAGAGTTCAAAAGGTCAGAGACTGGAGAGTCTAATCGCCGACTAAACCTTTTTTTGTCGAAGTGCATGTGAAAAATGCCGAGTACATTCCCCTTCGCTGAAGCATGTTTTACATATTTCGTCCTCAATGACGAAAGTGCGTCCTCCCAAGGTTACACACTGTCATTCACACAACCTCGTTAAATCACAACCATGTTGCCATACAATTTTCACGTTGCATACAAGGAGTAAAGCCAACAGAAACTCGGTACTTACCCCGTTCTGCCATGGTGCTCAACTGACACACGAATGTTCCCGGAAAGGAAATGCACTGGTGATTTTCCAACAACCAATCAAAATTAGAGAGCCGAGTTCACGTGACAAAATATGGCGGCGCCCACGAAATGTACACCGACAAGTTTTTGCAGGACAAATTACAACAAATCTAACATTTAAATCGCGGTATCAAATTAAAAACACTATCTTGTGACGCATAAGGGATGTACCTTATCAGTTGAACTGAGGAGGTAAGTACGATTTATGATAAATGCACAAAAAATTGTATTTTCGACGGAGTTGCTATGAACGCCAAAATGACCGTCATTGTTGTGACGTAAAATGGCTGCTAAAGTGCACATTATTAGCATAGTGTGTTTTTATACAGACCCTTAGAAAAAGAAAACAATACACTATGAGACTAAAGTTGCTATTGTCGAACAATTTTTTTTTTTTATATATAATCAAGACGGAAGCTCTAATTCCAAACGACCCTGGGTGAGTCAAGTTCCACTACATTCATTCCTCCTTTAAATTGTAATAGGACGTCCGTGGGGAGAGCCTGTCCAGCGTCGGTAGATGAAAGTGATCGTATAGTTATTAATGTTTTCCCCAAGGATTTAAATTAGTGGATGCAGGCATTGCTGCCTCTATATCAACATCAATATAATTTGAAATAAAATGAGGTAAACATAGAATAAGCCTATACATAAGACGCTCGGCTGTATAGTCATACTTCCACTCAAGATTGAAACGGGATTACAAAGTTATTAAATTATTCTAATTTTGCAATGTGTGTTTCTGTTAAATAAAATGTATGACACATGTCAGCACTGTGGACATTTGAAGCTTGCATTTTGAGCCAGATAAATACTTTAGGTACAAGTGTAAAAGATGCGCATTGATTAGGTTGCCTTACAAGCATCAGCTCAGAGCCAATGGTCGCAGGTTTGAGCCCCAGCTACAGCACTATCTTTATCTCTATTCCTTGTGACGTCCTGCTACTAACTGTCATTGACCCTCTCCGTTCAAGGTAGGAGATCGAACCCTTGGCGGGGAGTCAAATAACCTGGGTTTGGTTTTGAAAAAAGGGGTGAATAGTGTAAAAAAAATGTGCATTGATAAGGTTGCCTTACAAGCCTCAGATGTAGGAAAAAATTACCTTTAGCCCAGTGGTAGAGCATCGGGGTGGAGTTTGGACCCCCAGGGACAGCACTATCTTTATCACTATTCCTTGTCCTGGTACACATGGTCAAAACAATTGTACCAGATCTGGACTGGGTCGATTGTCTTATTATTGTAGAGCGCCTGTCTAGAGTTTGGAGGGCCCCAGGTTTAATTCATGTCTTGCCATGCATTTTTCCGCTGCTATAACACGTTAATTCTAAGCAGTACGTACATAAACATATAAAACCTATGATCAAATGTCACTTTACAGTTTTAAACAACACAAAGTTTTCAACAAACAGTTTCATAAATTGTTTAAGTTTACATTGTTCTTTAATCTTAATACATGACTAACCAAACTGCCTCCATCTATCTTCATTTTGGAGAAAGATGATGAGTCGTCAAAAATATTATACTGATGTGCTGGGAGTAAGAACCTGATTAAATTCTATGAGCCTTCATATATCCCCATCCTCAAAATGAGTGGTCTATTTAATGTCTATTGTGGGTGGAGAAATTGTATTCAGAGGTTGAGATCGTTTTAATTTCCTGGTCTTCCATGAATTTGTTTATTTGGGCTCCAAATACATTTTTGACAATTTGTAGATACATTGCAATGTACCAAATTAAATAGTCTTATAATTTGTTGAACAGACAACTATATATCCCAGAAGTCAGAAGATGTGAAAAAAACCACCCACTGGTACTTGATATTAAATGAGTGACAAAAGCTAGTGAGAAAAATCTCCTTCAACTCATTATCTAATACAAGTGATCTTGATGCTGATTTTTGCTATTGTAGCTTGAATTGTTTAAAGGCAAGTGCCTGTGCCATGAAGTGACTTAACTTAATTGAGTTTTTCACTTTCTGTAGATATATAGACAAACAAATAGACAAGATATTGTAGATTACCATGTTTCATCTTAAAAAAGATAAAACACCCTTATATCAATGAAAGACAATTTCATTATAGGTATTACTGTTGCATCATTTTTTTGTCATCTGAATACATTTTCCGTTGGGAATTTAAAATTTGGCCAAAATTTTTTATCTTTTCATGTATATATATATATATATGATATTCTATTTAATGATATATTAAAACTTATCTTTCTCCGATTGAAATCAATTTAGATGAACACTGGTAAAAGAAAGATATGAAATATGATCAGTTTGCAAATTTTTAAGATTTCACATGTATATAATGTTAAAATTGAATGTTAATGAATTATATCTATGTATTGTATCATTAATATGGATAAAGAAGCAGATATTTGCCTGCGTCCATCTTTTTTCCTATAAAATTCCTATTAAAGAAACAAGTCAAAGAATCTTTCACTTTGGTGAAATTGTACAAATCGATACTGCCTCAGTTGTAAACATTAATGAAATGCTGATTTTCAATTTTCAATTCATTATTACAATTGTGTATTTTTCTTCCCAAGGAGAGACTACATGATAGATGAAAGAAATGGCTACCCAGCAGAAGGAATGGAATGATTGGGTGGGAGAGTTATTTGCCCCTGCTGTGGATGTGACAGTGAAGGATCTACTGGGCGAGAAAACACCGGAGGAGGAAACAGTGATCAAGTCTCGCATCAAACATGTATCGGCATTTGATCCTGAGGCAGTGCGACGAGTATATGAGAGGGTGCATCTTATGTCTGTCATGGACGAGGAGATGAAGGCTCAGAAACAGTCAGAGGCGGAAAACCTAGCTTCTAAAGGTGATTCACTCGTAAAAAACTATTTCAGGATCTTAAAATATTTTGGCTGAAAGAATAAAAAAGAGGGTTTTATATAAAACATCTTTATCGTTTTGTCCAGAGCCTCAATTTTTGTGTCGTCTGCCACACAAGGCGTCATTACATTGTCGGCGGCGTCTGTTGCATCGTCCGAAACAAGGTTTCCGTGCAAGTTACCTTGGGTTGATTGAACTCAAATTTAGTACACATATTACATACTAATATAGCTCGAAGGAGTTTGCATTTCAGAAGTTTACATGTATTTTTGGTGGAGTTATGCCCCTTTTATTGCCAAATAAGGGCATTGTGTATTAAATGCTTTTTTTTTAAGAACTTTTTCATTTTTTAGTCAATTCCTATTCAATTTTGTATGGTAATGCTTAAAACAATAATGTTCAACATATGTTACAGGTTTTTCTGTTGAGTTTCAACTTTCTGTGTTAATTTTTGCTTGTTTACGCAATAACTTGAGTCAAAACACCCTTCTCACTAAAAGCGCTGACCAGGCGACACATCCATTCCTTAGGAACTCTTGTTTATTTGACAATTAAAAGCAAAGATTTTTTTTTTCATTTTTATGTATCTGCTCGTCTTCCATAACTGTATTATCAATATTGTTCCCCCAGGACATCATAGCCATGAATATTACCAGATATGTTGTTTAGTGCCCGGAGGTCTTTCTATTTTAACAAGAGAATATATCAAAAGGCAAAACATGTAAATCTTGCAGAATTTACTGTTGTTTGGCATTTTAAATTGTGGCAAGTTGAATCACCCAGGTCAGACCAGTGACTATTGTAGTGTCTACAGTCCTCATATAGGCTCAAGTTGGGTACACAGACAAATTTACTTAAATATACCTATTTACTCTGACCACTGCAACTATCCCCAGATCATGGAGAGAAAAATGGACATTCTCTTGCTAAGTTTGGTAAAACATACTTATTTAATACATTTAGTGGTGTTGACCGGGAAGCCCAAGTTCCCCTGGCACTGACACCAGACTTAAGACATTTTGACAGATAGATGTGTCTGGTGTGGTCAAAATGTCTAAGTCTGGTGTCAAGGCCAGAGGAAACTCGGGCTACCTGGCCAACAAAAGTGTCCTGGCTCAACTTTAGTACAGATATATTCGAAACAAAAATAAGGGAAGGTTACTGTATATAAGAAAATGAACAGAGCAGAGGGATAGAGATCCTCAAAGCATCATATGATATCTTTTAATGGGTTTCAGATGGTGAAACTCCCGAAGAACTACCTCAGAAGAAAACCGTTCAAGTGGAATTGGATGATTCATGTATTTGGGACTCTGATGAAATCAGCATCCTCCGAGAGGCATTTAAATCAGTAAAGGGAGAAAATCTCCGACTAACAGGCAGATGTAAGGAGCTGGAGAAGAGGAATTTGTATCTTGAATCTCGTTTGGGAACCCTTTCCGGGGAAGTGGACAGTAAAGCTACTAAAATAACAGACTTTAACAGAGCCAACAGTCGTTTAAAAATCCACTGTGAGAAATTACAGGATGAACTTGACCATGCTAATGCAAGACTTACAGCAATGGAAGAAATATTCTCCGAGATCAGCACGGAAAAATCTGCAATGATTAAAGAAGTGCAGGAATTACGCATACAGAGGGATAAAGACAGAATGGACAAGGGACGCCTGGAATTGAACTTGGAGTCTGTCCAAAATGCAGCTGAAAGTGAAAAACTAGCTGTAGAGGAAAATGTTAAAATACAGTGTCAGATAGAAATAATAGAGCTTCAAAAACGTGTGGCCGAGTTGACAGCTGATCTAGCCAATGAGAAACGTGTTCATACCATCACCAAACGAGGTCTAGATCACTTAAGGTCACACTTCGCAAGTCTACCTCTTTCCCACATAGTACCTCCAAATTCTGTGAGGACAGACCAGGTGTCAAAGTTCCAATATTGATATTAATTTAATGTATATATGTATATTAAATCAAGAATACTTTCATTTTCTGAAGCTTGAGGGCCAACTCTTCATGGTATTTAGAAATTTTGTAAGGATGTTGTTAGTTTATGGTGAATAGGATTTAATTAATGTAAACAAATTTGAAGGACTAATTTCAGTGGTTTACAATTTCAATTAAAAGAGTACTAGTACATGCAGTACACACAGATTTTGAAAAATTCTACTATCCCATAATATCTTATATACATTGTATTAAAATACACTGAATGAAGCAAAGAAATGTTTCGGAAAATTTCACTAAAGGCCCGACAAAAATTCCTTATAATCCAGGTGTTAGTGGAATGGTACACCAAACTTTTTTATTTGTATTTAAGAGTCATGATATTTTTACTTTAATTTTTTGTTAAGAAAGAAAGAACTTTCTTATTTCTCGCACTGATATCACTAATGGTGAAATTTTATTCTCCACAGAACTCTTTCTAGGATGAATATCTATTATATTGTATTATTGTAGTCTAAAATTCAACAATTGATCTGTTAAGAATAATTCCAGATAAATATCTTGGTGGACAGGGATGCCTGAGGGGGAAATTTGTGATACCCAAAATACAGTTATCATTTTTCTTTGGCCCAGTTTAAAATTAAGAATGTTATAAACACATTGCTGGTGTGCCCTCTAATATTATTTATATCTGGATCATGCCTTTCCTATTTCTTAATAGACAATTGCCTTATTTCATTACTAGTGCTTATTCATCTTGTCATTAAAGTGTATATTGTATCAATATTATGTATGAAGTGTTTTTATTGCCATTTAAGGGAACATGTGGCAGGACTTGCATCAATATCAAATAAATCCTTGATCCAAAACCCTTGATGATTTATCTCCCTTGTCACATTACATCGCTTTACAATTTGGTATAAAATCAACCTTTTAGAAAATATAAATCACAAAAAGGGGGGAGACACAAGGTCCTAGATAACTGAAGTTTCATAAAAAATCCAGGAATAAGTGCGAACAACAAACGTCAGAATTTTGCAGCAATAAATCCGACGTTTGGAAGAGATTTGCCGTGTTGTTCGCACTTGTTCCTGGATTTTTAGAAAAGATGTTAATAGGTACCAGTACTTCTTCAGGGGTTAAACAACGTATGTCAATCAAAAGTTTTACAATTTGCGTTATTTCTTTCTTAAACAATGTCAAGTCACATGTAATTTTTAAGATATGTTATGTAATTTAGTGGACGCGTGAGAGAAGGATATCATATTCTTGATACATTGTTTTTTATTCTCCGAAACTGTGGATTTTTAGCTCTGCTTATAGAACGGTCCAAGTGTGTTCATTTATCGTGGAAAATTTCTGCGCCACATGTACCGTTTCAACCGGGATACGCAAATGTAGCCCTATGCAATTCAATTCATACACACCACTTTTAGTGTGGATAGGATCAAATTACAATATACACTTATGATCAGTATTGAGATTTCGATAATCTTGCATCTCTGACTATCAGTTGTATTGTATATATTGCTTTATACACACGGGAGAATGAGATCAAATATCTGCTTGTAGTTTGTTCAGTTAAGTTTAGCATCCCCTGTTGATGGAATTATCTTGTCTGGTCATATAGTCATCAAAATTCAAAAGAAGAGATGACCAGGCAACTTCAAATGCAGAGTCTCAGCAATTTTAATCCTGACAAAAGTAGTAGATCAATACAAATGTGGAGACTCCCCATTTGATGTCTGGGCATCTCTTTAGAGTATGACAGCATTTCCATTACCTGCAGTGTGAATGTGGTCAAATGACATCAATTCAGTTGTAAGACAATCTCACAACAGAATTTGGAGGGATGAATAACAAATAAGTGACTGCTGTTAATTTTCCTTCTAGATTTTATTTCCTTACTTCCTTCAATTTAGAGTACAGTTTACTGAAAAGAACCAACAATGCTTTACATATCACAGTATTATTATAATTACACTCAACACAGGATGTATAGCACTTCCTTATCCATGGCAATCAAGATATAACGTTATACAATGTATAGGTAAAAGTCACAACTCTTACTTTTTGAAATGACAGAATTCAAGGGTTTGTAAGATTTATTTTGGCTTTTTTCATAAATTCATATGTGATTGACCCAGTTCAAAAAGAACAAACCTTAAACTTCATTCCTATAGAAATGAGTTAAAGATAGCAAAGATTTGGTTTAATAATAAGAGATATACTATTGCTATCACACAAGACAGGCATGCAGTTATGTCATCTTGACTACAGATCATCCTCGATACTCCAGGGGTGCTAATTTTCGCTCTCTGCACCCCTGGAATATGTCATAGCAAAATCGAAGGCATGTACTTTTACTATTCGATTTGTCTCTGGTAAATAAATCTGAGAAAGCACTAGGCTGATACCTGTCCTTTAAAAATAATTAGAGGTGTGACACTCGACTTCAAAGCCCATCAATTTTACCGTTAGAGACAGAGAGATTCTTTTTATGTACATAATATGATCAAACTAGTCCTCTCGTCTCACTTGGAAAATGGCATACGCTTAGCCTTCAATTTTGTTTTGACATATTCCAGGGGTGCAGACAGCGAAAGTGAGTGTTAAAATCTGCAGCACACTATTACAAAAACAGTATGAAGAAACACCTTAAGTTAAAGATTAATAGAGTATCTCAACTTTAGAGAACTTGTCAAGATCTGTCGTGTCAGGGTTTGGGCTCAGAGATGGTACATTGTGCAGCAATGTACAGTTCAGTAATAAAATATTTCAACACAAAAAAACAAAATATCAAACAAGTAGGTTATCAACCTAATTACTGGTAATCTTGACACTCTTAAACAAAGTCATGATAATGATATATTACTTTAACATCACCATGTAGCAATCACCAAATATCTATGCTCTTTCGAGGGTTTGCCTAGCAGGCTGAATCTAGTCAGCACAAGTATGAATTTGGTTATAGAATCCTGGATTCAGGGTTTTCTTTATACCCCTGAGTATCCTCCTGAAACCTAGAAGCTGAATTGAAGTATTCCTGGACACATTAGGTGTTTTTTTCCCCCCAAGCATTAAAGTTATAATATAATAAAACAAGTCACTTGTCTTTACTTATGAAAGGAAATGATAAAAAAAAATCAACTGCAATGTGACATCTTTACCTGGTCCCTCATGTAATTCATTAATGGTTAGGTTAAACAATTTGTAAATAAATGCATCTAGCATAAAAATGTGCCTTAACTTACTGAAAATTTTGAATGAAACCAGCATGATGAATAAGGGGAAGTAACTCTAGTTGACCTAGAGACAAATTGGGCTTGTTGCCTATGAAAGTCTATGTGAAAGTTGAATCTTTGCAACAACCAAAAAATAATAAACTTCTTAAAAAGAAAGACATAATAATACGATTAAGGGAACTTGATGCATAAATTAATTGTGATTCAAATAAAGATTTAACTAAATTCAAGACTAGTTTGAAATATTGAAAGCTTCACCCTCACCAAGTCACATTCCGTGCAATGTCTGCCAAGTTTATATTATGACAGTTAAAAGAAAAATGATTAAAGAGGAAAGTCAGGAACTAAAGAAAAAAAGAGAAAAACTGGACATTTTGATCCATGAGCTCAATGACTGTAACTGTAGCTTTAACATTTAATCTAGACGATCCTATAAATGAGACAAACAATGATATTAAATATGAATATTCAGCATCAAATTAAATACAAACAATTAAGCAGCCTTATTTTTTATGACACAAAATTCTAAAATTAAGACTAGGAAAAGCGGTGATCATGATAAGCTACGGGAAGTAAAATGTGCATGACACACGGCAAAATGTTACGGATACACAAAGACCAGATAAAGTTCACATTCAACAACTTAATGAACAAAATTTAATTTTATTCTTTCACAGAAAACCAATCTTTCTTCGTGCAATCTTAACATGTACTCACAAATCATTCTAATAGTGCTCCCAACATTTCTGTATTTGTTGAAGTGATATTCACTGTGGAGGTTGGAAAGCAGCATGAGGTTTAAAAGGGTCCTGAAAGGCTGTGTGATCATATATATATATTTATATCATTCCTAAGCATTCATAGATAATATTCACAAAATGCATATGTCCAAATACAAAAATATAGCCGATAAAATGCACAAGAACAGATCTTTAGTATAAAACATCCTATGAACCTTTTGCAGAAGCCTATACAGCAGAAAAGTTCAGCCTTGTAAAGCACTTGTGTTTTACAGTGGAAACTTTCCCAGGTCTTTGAAAATTCTATCCAAATAGGCAAGTTTAATAGAACACGAGCAGTTAACAATCACTTGTCAAACAAATCATTACCATGCAATGGCAAGTGAACATGACTTGTTCAAACTACTAGTGTTTTATATAGTCAGAGCATGTGGTTTCCATCATAAGTCAATTAGCTCTTTTGCTTTGGATCTACTGGTGGAGCAATCGTGTGACCACACTCATGTCTCTGTAAACGAAGGGAACCCATCTGTTGGAGTGATCACGTGACCGCCCTTGTTCCTCTGTACATCAAAGGGCTCTGTAGCTGGGGTGCCTTGGTCTTGTAGTGTTCGTTGAAGTCGAGTCGGAAGCTGAGGAAGCGGAGGCTGACATCCTGGTGGGTTGTCAGCATCACCAGGAACTGTTGAACCATATCCTGGAAAATAAAAACACAGGCATTTTTTAATGGCTTAATTAATTACAAATTCAATTTGAAATATCTGCAATCCAATTTGCTTGGAATCAAAAGTGAAAGTTATAAAATCTGATCAATGATAACAGCATGTGAATTAAAAATCTAATTTCCAATAGACTCTGCCCAAAACAAATTGATGAATTTTGAAAATTTGAATGGAAATTACATATTGCTATTCTGTTGGGCGATGGAATCAGAAGATGTTGAAACGAAAATTGTCAGTTTTTGTGTCAATTCACCATGCTAATGAAATGCTCAAGAATAAGGCCTTAACATTAAAATGGGAAAAAAAATTATCACTGTGTGGAATTGAATTATATTTCAGTTGAGATTTCCCTGTTTGGAATATAAATGGTTATTTCTCACCTGGTAACTCTGAGATAACACTTTGAACTGAGCCCTTGAGTTGGGAATGATTTTCTTCAGGAATGCCATCCTGCGGTGTTGCTCCTCGGTCTCCTCCTCCTCTGTCAGACCCCAGTCTCCCTGATACAAAATAAAGAGGATTTGAACATTTAACTCCTGACAATATTAGATACCCAAAATCATTTTTAAACCCATTACTCAACTTCAGATAAATTTGATAACTTGTGTAACCTCTAAACACTTAACAAACCCCAAATAATGAAATTCATCATTGATGGCACCCTTCCCTGTCAGGGCTCACAACTATGACTTTGTATGTTTGTTTGTTTGATTTTGTTTAACGTCCTATTAACAGCTAAGGTCATTTAAGGACGGCCTCCCCTGTGTGCAAGATGCATGCGTGTAGTGTATGTGTGTGTATTTTGGGAGGCTGCGATATGTTCGTGTTTGTCTCCTTGTGATAGCGCGGAACTGATGCCGACTTTATAGTGCTACCTCACTGAAACATACTGCCGAAGACACCCAGCAGGACGCCCCACCCGGTCACATTATACTGACAACGGGCGAACCAGTCGTCCCACTCCTAATTTGCTGAGCGTTAAGCAGGAGTAGAAACTACCATTTTTAAAGACTTTGGTATGTCTCGGCCAGGGGACAGAACCCAAAGCCTTCCTCACATGGGCGAATGCTCAACAAATGGCCAAAAGTGAGGCATTGTCAAGGGAGACATTAGTATCATGCATTAGTTCACCATAGCAACCCTTTTATTATGCCACATGATAATAACTGGATCCAAAACAGAAACAGAGGTACAACTTCTGAGTGAGGTGATTATACACGTGAAGTTCACGAAATTAGGATGTCTGCAAAAGAATAGGCTAGTAATTTCGTAAAACGATTATTATCGAACATTATTCCCGTAAAAAACGATGGATCTATAAAGGAAGCACAGGTGCATAACCTCCTAGTGTAGCGATTACATCACAAAACTTTTGCTGAATTCTGATGAAAACCGTTAAAGAAGTTATCTGGACAAAATTCTATCTACCAGCGAACGGATGAAAATCTTAATTTCAGTATGCCTCCAGGCCTCTAATGACATTATGGGGGGTAAAATCACAGTCCAGTTGAGGCAGAAGGTGTACAAAGAGATTTGAACCTACAATAAAGAGGCCTTGACACATACTGTATACATGTACTGTGTAATTTTGGTCACAGTTACACTTTCACCTTTTTTTCCCAATGTACTGAAGGAGAACTCATCATTCTAGCGAATTATAGTAACCAAATAATTTACATATAATTACAAGTAAAGAGCAAAATTGATTTTAATTCACACAGGGAGAATATCGGCAAAGGGCCTAAGTTTGACTGGACGAAAGTTTCCCAGTATACAGTTACACTTCCAACCGTTCTATGAAACCACTTATAGTTATTTGCTTCATTGATTAATGATAAATATATATCACATGGACTTTAACCCTTTCAACACTGTAGAACATAATGGACTCATCCATATCAATGCATGGTACAGTCTACTAAAGTTACATAGGGGTGAAAGGGTTAAGTATATTTCTACATATACACTACCTCTTTAGAGCGTTTCTCCTGCTTAGCGTCAAAATGCTGTCGAGCCATCTGTTCCTCCGACGCCTCTGTGAAGAACACTCCCAGAGCTGTCTGGAAGTCGATGATCAAGTCAAAGATTGTCCTCAGCTGGGTCAGGATGTTCTGTTGTCAAAGGAGATCACATTAAAGGTCATTCAGGTGAGTGAGAAATAAGACCCTGATGGAAGAACCAATGACAAATAACGACACATGGTTAAAAATTTCATTCAGGGGTCGGTACCCATTACCTTTATCTCTTTGTCTGCTGTCAACGATACACCTAGATATGTGTGTGTGTGTGTGTGTGTGTGTGTGTGTGTNTGCCTGTAACTTTTATTTAACTGTCCTTTAGAAACATACCTGGAGACGGTATATAGGAACACCTGTAGTGGGCTGGTTTCTATTATTTACATATGACTGTTATCAAGGAGACACCTGGAGATGATGGTATCCAGGAACACCTGGAGGTAGATAGGGGTGGGCCCACTGTTTGGGATTTGTTACTTGTTACTCACCTTGGACTGTTCCGTCAAGGAGACACCTGGAGATGATGGTATACAAGAACTCCTGGAGGTAGATAGGGGTGGGGGTGGGGGATTTGTTACTCACCTTTGACTGTTTGTCAAGGAGACACCTGGAAATGATGGTATACAAGAACTCCTGGAGGTAGATAGGGGTGGGGGGTTTGTTACCTGTTACTCACCTTTGACTGTTCGTCAAGGAGACACCTGGAGATGATGGTGTCCAGGAACACCTGGTGGGCAGCAATGATGTAGTCGAGGTCCTCCGCCTCGCTGACCTTGGTGAGTAGCTCGTCCCAGGAACACTCCAACACCTCAAAGTTGATGTAGTACTGGACTTGCTGGACAAAGTGTACCATCTCACTGGTCAGCATGTGACACTGGTGTAGGATACTGGACAACTCTGTAACAGTGTATAGTATCTGGTGTACTACAGTGAAACCAGTCTGATCTGACATGCAATGCAATACATAGGTCAGATTGGACAGGATGTCCAAATAATGTCATTATCAGAAATGGAATAATATTATGTTGAATGAGACAGGGAATCTGAATACTCAGGGGTCCTATTAGACAGGCTTCAGTGTACAGTGTGAATTTGAATATCAGGTGTTGTGGAATGATTGTTCACTGGCATGTGTCTACCAGGGCCTCATTTCTTGACGAATAAAAACAGAGACAGACCTGATTGTGTGAAACTATTTTATGATCAGTCTTGATGGAGATTTTGAAAACTTGCATTAATTTTATATATATTACCTTCTGTCAATTATGTATGATATGACATATGTTAAGTAAAAGTGCAAAATTTTGATTAATTTATTTCAAAATATTACTTTCGTGTTCTGACCAGACAGGGAAATAGATGTATGCATAAAAAATTGCAAGTGGTACTATTTTGACCTGCAAAAGTTTGAACTCAACTAACATATATCTTATTTTTCAAGTGTGAATATTCAAGTCTGCCACAGTAGTGGAAAATGTTTTTTTTTTTTTTTGATTTGATTTGTACTGACCTGGAATACACTGTAGCATTTTAGCACTGGCCATCTGGTTTCTCCATATATTGGCCAGGATGTACTCCATCCTCTTGGACCTCCACAGGAAATTAAACACCCTCAGGTACATGATCATACACTCTGGGGTAAACACCTGTCAGACAAATGGTTATCATAATTATATATTAAGTACTTTGACATCTGCCTAGACCAAATATTTTACAATCCAAAACCCTGTAAAAAACATTTTTCATTCATTACTCCAAAGTAAATTGAACTCTGAAACCAAAAGTAAATTGAACACTAAAACAATCAATCTATTTGGTCCCATTGCACATGTTTCTAATACTATCACGTAATCTATGTTACTGCCTCTTGCGATCCACAGCTCACCACAGTTCTTACATCAGTACATTTGTAGATACAGAGTGAAAGAATTGGTTGGTTACAGAGTTTACCGCCCTATCAACAGCTAAGGTCATTTAAGGATATGAATCCATATGTGTTGTGTATGGATGCATGTCTGTATGTGTGCTAGAGACAGGTGATTTATCCTACTTGTGATAGTGTGGATCTGATGCCGACTTACCGTGTGAAATAAAAATATACAGTACTAAACCAATAAAGTGTCCTTAGCTATTTGGGACAATAATAGGAATAATAGATGGGTGTTTTTTTCAACCAAGTCTGCAAATTACTGTTTAGGAAAGAGATTCTTGGACCAGAAAATGGACAGTTGGTGCTTTTGAAAGAAAGAGCAGTTATTTGGTCAAATAAGACAATAAATTTACCAAAAATACTGCATTAAATAGAAAAATTAGTTTACCATAATATAACTACCACACGAAAAGTTTTGTCGATGATAACTTCTATCCAAAATAAGATATATTTTGATAATTCTAAAATTCAAACTAATACGAGAAATTGAGGTAAAAACCTGGAAAAGCATACTGACCGTTCTGATTGGACCGTCCACATGATAATCGAGACTAAACACATCCCAACCTGTGTCACCTGTAGATACCTGTAAGTCAAACACGATGGACATCAACCACAACCTCAGGTAGAAAGCAATAAGAACAAAATCTACAAAACATTGCGAATCTTTACGACTCACTACTGGAGAGACAAATGTACACATACTTAAAAAAAAAAAAAATAGCAGCCAAAGACTTGGTAACCTTTTTGATAATCTTTTCCCAATATGATCTCTTTGTGAATTCTTTTATTCATAGAACAACAAACACCAACACCATTGAAATGTGGTTACAAATCTTGATAAGTTTTTGTGCAAGTTATTCAACAACTTCTATTCAATGCTAAATTTTCTGTTTGTTACCTGTTCTTGAACATTCAAACAATTGAACAATCACAATCAGTCTTGTGCAGTATGCACATAGGAAGTATCAATGTTTTGAATTTTTTCCCGATGGTCCCACAAAGTTTGAAACATTGAAGTTTAAATATCGACTTTATTTATTTTACAACAATTATAAATAAGGTATTTCAACTTATATTAATCACTCTTGTTGGTCCTGATATTAGTGTACGAGGGGTCTTATTACGTGAGAGAATCAGAGTACCTGGAGAAAACCCATGTGGTCGGGCAGATGACCCTATACCTTTTCACGTTCGAACAGGGAATCCAACCCCGGCTGCCTTGGTGAAAGACAAGTGTGCTATCCACTGCACCCCTGACCACCCAAAACATCGAAGTTTGACTGTAGTACATACTTTACAAAGATTTGTCAGTATTATAAACTCTTACAACAAAATCGAACAGAAGTATCATAGAACTAAATCGTAGCATTTTCATTGTTTTTGTTACTTTTCTTTAAACAAATGTTATTTTTATAGAAAACTTGAACAAACCTCCAGCAGTCTAACATCCAGCCTCTTTAGAATGTCGGAGTCATCAAACTGTGCATTCGTGGCCCTAACGGCTGTCTCTAAGATGCCAGTCAGATTGTGAAGATACAGATTTCCTGCGGGCTTGGCAAGATCTTGTCTGTAAGGTAAAAGTATATATATTGCAAGAATATTTGTGCAATGATCTTAGCAATGATTAATACAAGTACATTAGACTGAAAGAAAGTCTTGCAGAGCCTTTTTGCTGGAAAATCACACATGGAACAAAGTAAAATATTGACTACTGTTTACAAATAGTCACTGTTAATCACTTAATTTTCTTGAAAGCTATTTTCAATGACATATTTGCAAGGATTTTAATTCATGAAAGGAAAGTAATGTTCCTGTTAATATCATGTTTTATCTGACAAATGAGAAGTGATATTAAGCAAAATTTATTGTAACTGATAAAGGTTTATTCTTTATATTTGCATACCAACTTGACTTTGAACTCGCAAATTTGTTTCACTCTGGATGATACCGAGTCAAAACTAGAACTGTCATCTATGGGCTAACTAATACCCCCCCCCTGCATTCCGGCTGCTTGTTGCCCCTGTACGGGCTAATTAAACGAAAGAAAAAATATATAGAAAGATCAAGGGTCATAAAAAAGTCTACATAATTGACTACAATACTCTTATGTAAATGTGTATACAAAATACCTTCCGTTTCTGAGATATTTAGACATTTCAGTAACATTATCCATTTGTGACCTTTGACCTTTCAAAACCTGGAAAGTTGAAACATGACAAAAAACAGCCTACACAGTACAAATGTTTCCTTACTCTAGAAGATCCATCAGATGGCGAATGAAATCTCCTTGTCCCAGCAGTAAGTATCGTCTCATCGCCTGCAAAACATTGATTTACAGGTATTGTATATATCTTATCAATATTATGTCTTTCTATCTCAAGGTTAGGAATCATTACATCCATATCATTCATGAACTTCTAAATATAAAATAAGTTATTACAACTTGTGATGAAGAGTAAAATTCTTCTGGTAACTATAATACAAAGTAGAGACACCATGAGTTAGCTCACAAAGATATGCCCCGCCTCATCTCGGTATTCACACTTTGTTTAAAGGGGGTATAAGAATCAAATTCCACGACTTTCATGTACATCTACAAAGGGTCACTTTCAATGTGTTAAGTGTAAAAACAAATCAAACAAACAGATAAGAAGGAGTTGCAGTTACAAGGTTTCTGGAGCAGAAAGTTTCCAGCCCCATATAAGTTTCAAGGGCCACAACTCCAACAAAAGTCAAATCACGAATTCTTTTCTTCATGCACTTCTACATCCAATGCAATTTTATTGTGTCAAGTTACAAACAATCCAACACAGCTTTCAGGAGAAGTTTTTGCTTACAATGTTCGATGACAGAAAGAAAAGAAATTTGATTGTGGGGTGTATATTTACTACACAACTCACCTTAAGATGGTCCATGAACTTGTACTTGTTATGTAGGGTATCCAGTAGGTGGCGACTCGTCTCCTTATAAACAGTGTCAATCATGTGCTGGAACTCACTAATAGTGTCCTGCATAAACATCTCACCAGCTGAAACCATTTCAACATTAAATACATTTTGTTCAAGGATTTGAAAATCACAAAGAAGTTATAAAACTTAAAAGTAATTTTTTAGTAGGTCCCATGGCAGCTTGTTTTTAAATCAATCTAATTAAAACTAGAAATTGTTAGCTAACAATTTGACGGGCTTTTCACTGTAAGGACTGACTCGGCCTCCTAATAATAACCTGTGCAAGTCTACAGTAGCTGACTGAGTAGTGGGGGATTCCCGGAGTGCGAAATGACGTCGGAGAAAGAATGGATAAAGATAGGCAGCCAATGGGCGGTGTTGTATACGAATGTAGTCCGTAAAAGTGGTCATATAGTCCGGCCACTATGTACATCAGGATGATGAATTTAGACTAGCTTTTTGTCTATCGGTCAGGTTTGCCATGCCAATGAAAGGCTGATGTTTACCCACTGCAGTAGAGATGTTAACTGTCCACACTTTTAAGATTGAGAGTGCGTAGTAATCGATGTAGTATTACCAGCGTGTATTAGATGTCTTGATACAAATCAAAGTACTGAGAGCCCTGAAAGCACTAGACAATCGCACAAAAATGAAAACGGTTTTTGACTTTCACCTTTGAAATGATATTTGGAGTAGGTCAATATCGTTCATTTGCACACACTTTAAAGCCCTTCATTCAAGCATGCTTCTTTGCCAAACATCGTTACCCTGGAGATATTGGTTATTCAGAAAAAGTGGTTTCAATATTTTTACACATATGACCTCTGTGACCTTGAAAGTCATTCAAGGTCAATCATTTTTTCAAACTTGATAGTCAATCATCTGACCATGTTAATGTATCAAATAGTAGGACTCTAGGCCTTGTAGAACTTTAGAAGAAGTTTTTTGAAGTCATTATCTTGAAATAGCACATATGAAGTTGGTGACCTTGATTGTGACCTTGATAGTTGATCAATGTCAACCATTTTTTCAAACCTGATACCCCGACATCTCAGAATCATTATTATTAAATATCAAGACTCTAGACCATGTGGAACTTGAGAAGAAGATTTTTTAAGGTTGGTACCCAATATAGTGCATTTTAACTTTGACCCCTGCCGGAAACCGGAAGTTGACATTTTTTGTTAAAACAGTATGAACAAAAAAGTTTGCCCTTGACTATCTCTACATGATATCCAAAGATCAACCTCGTGTTTGATATCGTTAACGAAATATATTGGTATAGGCTGTTAACCAATCAGAATTTGACGCGGCCATCTTGGAATATTAATGGATCCAAAAAGTAACATAAGTTCGTATGGGCCCCTAGAGGAATACATGTACCAATTGTGGTTAATATTGCAATGGCAGAATTGGAGAAGAAGATCGTTGAAGTTTTAACATATTGTCAGCATTTGAAAAGATCAAAGGAAATATTTCAAAATGGCGTACAACGTTAACGGTAAATGTTACAGAAAAACTAAAGACATCGAATTCATCGGAATGACATTCTTAATCAATCTATTGAAGAATTTTTCAAAAAAAATGAAAAATGAATGTTTTTAAAATAGGTGGTGAACTTCGACCCAGGGGCGCACTTTTTAATTAGAAATATTTTGTATTAACATGTAGTGAAAAAAAGTTAGATATGGAAATTATCTACAAATAATTAACTTTCACAAATGCTGTACAATCAATAATTTTCGAGTAATAGCAGTTTTTAAGATTTTACCCTATGACGTCATGGCGGCCATTTTGTTTTCTGGATGGAGTTGAGAGAGCCAAATGTTAGAAGACATCTAGGGAAACTTTTCCCGTTACAACTTAACGGAATATTTGTCATTGATATTGGAGTAAAACAAGTTTTAATATATTGCGAAATTTTTAAAAGATCAAAGGAAATATTTCAAAATGGCGTACAACCTTAACGGTAAATGTTACAGAAAAACTAAAGACATCAAATTTATCGGAATGACATTCTTCATTGATCTGTAGAAATATTCTTCAAAAAATATGAAAAATGAATGTTTTTTAAAAATTGTGACCTTTGACCCAACAGCGAGCTTTTTTATTTGACCTTTAAATGAAAAACCATGTGGTAATTAAAGTTAGCCCCTTAAATAATCTACATATAATATAATTGCGTCAATTCTGTAAAATCAACCGTTTTTGAGTTATGGCCATTTTAAGATTTTGACCTATGACGTCATGGCGGCCATATTTAATTTTTGACCACCTTGAAAATGTTGCTTGATCAGCTCTAGACCTTTTCCTACAACATACTTAAAAGACTATAAACCTATCGTTTACCAATCAAGAGAAACAGAATTCACAAAGTACGGAAGAAGAATATTAAGAATAATAATAATAAGAATAATAAGAAACTTAACAAAAGCAATAGGTCTTTTCACCAGTTGGTGAAAAGCCCTAATTACATCTTCACATTGCTCCCGTTTACTGATATGTCGCGTTGAAGATCTAACAACATCCCATAGAGGGTCACGTCAGAGGTCAACATGAATACATTATCATATTTATAACAGGCCAATCAAAACGCGACATAACTCTTNGAGATCGGTTTTTATATTCAACTTTGACATTTAATATCGTTTTTTTTTTAACACAGACCAACAACTGAATGAAAATGTGCAAGGATTTGCCCAGTAAATAATAATGTTTAGATACACCCTTGCTTCATGTTTCGGTGACTTTCATTTAATTTTATAGGGAAAACTGTTCCTAGGATGTCGGCACAGGTATGGCATGTGTGGCCAGCCTGCTTCTATGGTCCCAGGGTTTGCTCTGAACCTCCCATAGGGCACCAACTTACTATAAAGTAAGACAGAGTGGCAGTATGGTGGTTGTGATTGCTTTTAACAACTTGGTGGTCTCAAAATCATTATATGTGTAGAAATTGTTCCCAATGACTCAACTGGACAATTTGCATAATTTCATCTAAAACAATTTCCAATACCTTTATTAATTGTTTTACGCTTTTCAAACTTTGGAATTCTATTCAGTGTGCACAACTACACATTCTAAAATTGTATTTCTGTTAAAAAAATATTAAAGTTGCATGCAATCTATTTTTTTTATAAAAGTGATAAATACAACTCAGGAACCTTAACTCTTTCAAACCCAATTTTTTGTTTCCTATAAAATAGTTACTTGAAATTTGAAAAATTGTCATTTATGTTTTTTAATTAAAAAATGCATATTTCACAATAAAACATGACAACTTAGCAATATTTAATCATTCAAAATAATATTAAGTATCAAAACTGTTTTAATTATATCTAATTCAATACTGATTTACCTGTTAATTCTATCAATACGGTATAAGGGAGGTAACTCCTTCAGGCTTTGATATCAAAACACAATAAACTCTATTGGTGACATGCTCAATCAATTTTATATCTGTGCAATAGATGCTTTAAGGCATGTAAATACTGCTTCATTGAATTATTAAAGAATTTACTCGATTTATTTCATGAAAAAAAGTTACTATTAAGCTGTATATAATATGGCAATCACACATCAAGTAAACAGTTGTTTGTATGATGAAAATATATAAAATATTTGGTGTTAATTATGTCAAAAAACAAAGTCATTCGACTACACTTGGATAAGTGAGTGCAATACAATGGACATGCCTTTAGCAATGCATAATGAAACCAAGAGGAATAATTCAGTAACAGTTATGGAACTTGCCTGTGTGTTCATGTTCTCAACCTTATTACAAATTAAAAACTTAAAAGTATTAAATCTCTTAACAACTACTCAAGATATTGAGCAGAAAATGTGCATCGAAATCTGTAAAGGGCAATAACTCCTAAAATAATTGTCCGATAATAATGGCTAACAAACTTATTCGAGTTGTCGTAATATTCGTAATATGATTTTTAGTTAATTTTTATAAAACATCGCCAGACAATTCTCCTACCTGCACAAGCAAAACACAGAGTTCTAAAAAGAACACTTCCCACATTTGTTTATGGTTGTTAACAGGGTAGTATGTCATATTTTACCTTTGGTGTTGTCCATGATCATGGCGACCTCGCGACCTTTGGTGGGAGTCCGGTCCTGACAAACCTGTCTCAGGTAGTTGATTGATTTACCTGTGTTCAGTATCTGTCGGAAACAACAATCATACGTTTGTTCAATACAAGAATAAAACTGTTGCCTTTTAATCAAATTAAGTACCTGCATTTAGATTCTAGAAGAATATTTTCATTCACAACACTTTCGTTTCTGATAATAGCAAATTTGCACATGCGATTTATTCTCATTATAGAGGGGTGTTTTTTTTATTGAAGTTTTTCGAAAAATTTACTTTTTTCAATGTGTGATGAAAAACTCATGACATTTATATTTTTGAAAATACTTCTCATCATTAGAAATGATGACAATGTTTCCTTGAATATGAATATCATGAGTTCTGGGTTGAAAATCGGATCTGCATACCATTTGTGATATCAATATTTGATTTGTGGTGGGGTCTCTGAAAAAGTGCCTCCCAACCATCCCATATGCTTTAATATTTCTTTAACAGTCCTTTTTGGGTGGAAGAGTTTCCTCCTTTAATATATTAAAACAGCCCAGTATAAGTTATAATAGTGCGATAGTGGAATATCATAATTAATTCTGATTGACTTTTTAATAAGAGCATTGCATAGCTCAAAATATCAATTAAATATTTATATGTAATTGAAACATACATTTGTACATGGATTTATCTCCCCTATACCATCTGCTATATGTAATACATAATTTGCATCAATATTTTCTTACTGACCGTTTCATCTTTGTCATGTCAACCTAAGGAGAGAACTTATATAGGCCTAGCCTGCTGTTCAATCCTATTGTTTACTCAATAAAATATGATGAAACGTAAATATCCTACCCGCCTGGCCTGGTCCATTGTGATGAAGTATGGGACCATCGACTTCCTTAATGTGTATTTGTCATGCCATAAGCGGTCGTTCTTAACTGTTGGGTCAGACGCCACGAAGAACTGAAAACACAAAAACTTTTATTTTCTAAAAAGCACTTTTAAAATCAGAATTCTTTCCGGAATATAACCATTGAAAAACTATTCTGCACAATATAAAGTTTGGTCTTCCTACCTATCATATTTATTTTAGAGCTGAAAGATTAAAAAAATTAAACACTTTGTCCAAAGAATGGTCATTTAGTTCATTTTCCTGAAGATGAAAAAAATCAATAAAATGTTCCTACAAAACGTAGTGACCACAACAGGAATTTCGACTAAACAATGTTTTCAACATGCTTGATCTTAATGACTGGTATCAATAGTAAAACTTTTAAGTTTCCAAATTATAACTGATACTTTAAATAAATCGACTATGAACAAATATTTCTCCTGAATGGACAACGCCTGACCTCATCATGTGTGTCTTCTAGTTCACCGTCGTATATCCACCGTATCAGAGTGGAGTAGATTGGCTGTGATACCTGCAAAACAAACAGTCCATTTTACAACACAAAGGAGGATTAAGGTTCAATTTCTTATTAGCAGGTTCAAACAGCCACTTTATCTTTAGCCAGACCTATATATATATCTATCAGAAAGCATTTGAAAATGATTCAAGGGAATTTTGATCTAAAGCCAAATTAAAATAAAAGCATTTTTGCTCAATTACCACATTTTATAATTGTAAATACAGTATGAAACTAAAAACTCTTATCTCTAACAGGACCAATAAGAAATTGCAAATACTATATCAAAAATTATAAATAATACATAATAATGTTTAAGTGTTTCAGTAAAATTCGAACGAGATTGCTTACCATGGTCAAGGTGTGCATTATCAGGGCCTTGATGTTGGGGTCTCCATGCTGCATATAGGAGTACAGAGACGAGGCCAGAGCTCCACCTTTCTTACCTGTAAATATAACAGTTTTTACCTTTTATACAAAGATTCTTTACTCTTAGTTAACAACTATTACCTGTAATATAGCAATTCAGGGTTATTCATTCCTCTTATTTAACAATGCTCACTAACAGTTCTTACCAGTAATATAATTTTTACCCATGATACATATATGTGTAACAATACATTTTCTAGTCGTAATGTTACAGTAAACCTTTTCATACTGCCATTATTTGTCCCGAAAATATGTTTTGTGTTACAAAGGCTTTTGGCAATACATTACGGGCGATATGCCAAAAAATCCCTTCCTTTTTGTTGGAAATTATTTTTCATGTCATTTGTGTCAAAGAAGAATCAATGGCACAATGTTTTTAGATTTATTACAATCACTATATAATTGAAAAAGCATTTTCTCAATAATAAGTTCAAGTATTTTCCTTAATTAAATCAACAAGTAAATTTTTGCGAAATAAAGTCCACTAATAATTACTGTGATTATCTAACAGAATGAAAGAGCTGTAAGAAAAAGTGGGAAGAGGAGCTTGAAAAACTTGACAGTGCACAGAGTGACACAACACAAAGTCATTAATAATGTGGTTTTACTTTTACCGATCTTCATGTTTTGCATATCAAATAAATAGATAATAAACAGACACACTAAAACGGTCATCTCTTGTACAATAGGAGTCAAGATGGAAACTTAGATTATACATTTTTCACCGTGACAATAAGAGATGCTGAGTTTTGATGACTACCTCGACACACGTCCACCACTGTGGCCAGAGTCTTGAGTCGTAACAGTGGATCAAATGTCCACACCACCAACTGTCTCAGCGTGATACAGCTCTCCTCCGGCGATGTCAAACCGGTGTCTCCTTGGTTCAACTGCAACAAAGGAAAGCAGCTTGTCAGTTTGTATACCGATATTTCACTGTGAACATTCTAATTTCAAAATATAGCTCCACTCTCAACAGAATTTAATTGAAGTTGGTCTTCAAAATTTTTAATAGGCAATAGATTTTGTATGGGCTAATTAAGGTTCCAACTCCAAAAAGAAGATATTATTTTATATCTTCAATGGTCCTGGTAAGGATTTCAATCCGACAAAGCTACCAGATCACAAGTGATTGAACCAGTCCAGATTTACCACAGTCTTTTGCCATTTTTTTGCCCTAAAGATGACACTACATAATAATATCTGGGTATCCTTTTGGTCAGGCACACATGTGTTGTAACCAGGCTGTCAGTCAACCAGAAAGGAATTTGAACCTGCATACTCTGTATTCTAGACAAGACCCCCCCAGCCCCCACCCCCCACCAACTGATCTAAAAGAATGTTCTACACACTGAACTACCTGGTGATTGCTAATTGACTCAATGCTGACCTGCTATACCCATACCACCTTTTTCTAAATCTTAGTTCAATGTACAACACATGTTAATGTATTTTCTTTCATTCTTCCACCTCTTCATCAATGATTTACCTGACCTTCCAGAACTGCTATCAGTCTATAGTACTCTGTCAGCTCCTGGTGTAATGCTGCACAAAAACTCTGAAACAAAACAATGATATAGAGTTAATCCTGAATAGACCGTCACAATGATTTCAAAATCTGAGGTATTTTATACATTTATGAATGAACTTTTAAAATCAGCACATTGCAAGACTTTTTTTTATGCAACCTCTACCAACATTAGATTTGGCATAACTAACCTGCCCAACTAATCCAAATGTCTTGTCCGCACTTCTCGTCTGGATGTAGTCCTTGGTTTTAGAGTATAACCACCCACACTCGGCAAGCTTGCTGACTAGCTGTCTTATTGCTTTAGGAATCCCAGCCTTCAAACACACAACTCTACATTAAACACAACTGTGCATCTAGAGTAACCATAGATAGATCTATTAGTATTAAATCTGAAGCTTCTCTGAACCCAACATTGTACATATCCCCTACACCTACATAACTTAAGACTCTGACCTATCCTTAAAGGACATAAAAAGGACACTAAAGTGAATTGATGAAAAAGCCTGTTTATGCCAGCCTCCTATTAACAATGTAATGTCCTGTTTTGTCATCTGACTTATGAAACGAGATGCCATACCATTGTTTTTATTGTGTCGTTACTTTAACAAAGACTTAGATGGAACACCCACTGACAGATATTTTCTCTATCAGAAAAGGACCATATTGGAGGGGGGGGNTTTGAAAAAAAAGGCATTAATCCAGATGCATTTGTAAGCAGTACATGGTCTTTCCTAATGCAATCTTAGCAAAATAGATTGGGCATACTTTAAAAAAATGTTTGATTTCTGTTAAATTTCGATATTGTGTGTACCTGAGAGTCTATTCTGTAGCCTTCCTTAGATGGATCAAATTTAATCCATTTTCCCTCAATCCCCTGGAAAGCATACACAAGATCTTTGATCAGCTCTGCTTCGGGCAACTCAAAGGATGCTAGAAAAGATTTACAAGGAAACATGTAGTCGTATAGAACAAAGAACTTATTTTACAAAATGGATTTGATGTCATTTCTAAGTAAATGATCATAATATGTTGTAGAAATATATATGACACCCAAAAGAGGTTAGTTCCGAATTAAAATACCCCTCAAAAAAACAATCCTAAAACTTTCATTTAAAATGAATTATAAACAAAAATCATAAATCTACAAATACAGTATTTTTCCATCATCAGACCAATAGGTTGTCTACATAAGATTTTTCCCCATTCAAATTGATCATAATTTTTATTTTTTTCCATATCAGGAAAACTTACTTTTATCTCCTCGGAGAACCAATATGTTGGAATCTGGTTTATTGCGTCGTCTGTCCCTGCTTGGCACTAGAGCTGTGTTTGATTTTTCTGTGAATTAGGAAGAAACTAATTTATTGACCAATATGAAAATCAACAATGCTGCTTGAATATCAGTATTAAGTAAATCTAAAGAACTTAATTTTTAAGCAAGTCAATTTTTTCTTATCTAAACATCTCGGGACAAATTGAGTATAAATGACGGTACTTTACCTTGCCTTGTCAGAGTGGAGGCCAGGCGAGATCCCAGGGTTCGACTGCTACCAGTCCGGTCAAGTTCAACAGAGTTGAATGTCGTCCTGAAATAAGTACGACAAGTGTTTAACGATGAGAAAGAAAGAGCAATGGTTGAAGCCTTTTTTTCACAAAATGCTCCTTTCTGGTTTTCAGTGAGCCCCAATTCCAGAATTGATTTCAGGGTCCGTTGTACTTTATAGAACTATATGCTATATATTGGTATATCAATAAGTACCAAGTTTGTTCCAGGGCAGAGAACTTTTTCTACCACAATACGCTGTGTTATTCCACTCTCAGATCATTGTATAAACGCGCTGACTGTAAGATAAATATGAGTTATATACCAGACGTAGTATATGACCTACACAAGTTTTGATTGGTCGAGAAGATGAACTTTGACCGGGACGACTTTTTCCACACGCTTTTTGCCACAGCTTTTCTGCTGTCAACATTTGACAAATGTTGGTGACTTTGTGAGGTTATGCGGAAAAGGGGGTTATTAAGGCAATATTAAAAGAAGATGATACTTAAAGATTTGATCGCTAGCTCCAGGCAAAATTGCTGAAGACGCTCAATATCGATTTGACGTCACACCATCGCGTGTCCAGGTTGTGAAACCAAAACAAGATCACAGTATTGGAAAATATTTCGTTCTCCCAACGTCCCGTTATCGCTATTTGGACGGTCTGACTATGGCTGAACTGTCACTATAAACGTCAACCATAGAACTGTCACGAAGAAGCGTAGGCCTACGGTTTTGGACATTAACAGCGATAAGTTCGTCTTCGTCACTTGGCGGGAGGCACAGACTTTGTACGATATGCTTATGCGCATATAGTCCGTGGTTAACTTATATAAATTAATGCAATACTGCTACTCCCAATATTTAAAGTCGTTCATCTATTATATATTTTTTCATGAAGTTGTTGCCTAAAATATTACTTTTGACAATTATAAGATTTGAAAAAAAAATGCCATTTTTGAATATTAATGAGTGACTTTTTACATATGGGTAATATCACTACGCCAGCCTTGTCAACAAACACATGTGCGTATGTTATTTACGACTGATCATGAGATTGTGGTAGAAACAGATCACACGACTCGTGGTTGTAGAGTATGGTATTTATTTCACTCTCGTTAGTTGATTTTCAAAAGTTACAGAAAGACACTCGCTTTAAATACCATATTCAACAACCACTCGTTGTGTAACCTCTATATATGGCGCAATTAACACATTCTCACAATTAAACAACTTTCAATACATGTAGAAACTGACCCTGACATACCAATATATTTTAGGGGAAAATATTGACAAAACTTGAAAATTTACAAAATCAACAAAAAATATTCCTTTTAACGTCATTAAAAGATGAGACGGGTTGACTTACACTGGCATGTATGAATGAGGGACTGTGGGATTACTGTTGTTGAGGTCACTACGGATGCTGCTGATGCCACTGCTGCCTGTGGAGTGGGAGACTCCAGAATGTAAGGCTGTCACCTCCCCAAGACTCCCGGGCGGGGGCGGGTATCTGTGGAGGGCGGGATTGAACGGTGTGGAGGTCGCGTTGGAGGGCAGGCGAGATCCAAACAGAGCTGAGCCATTAACAGAGGACTGAAATAGGGTCATATACCAACATCTCAACATAGGAATTCAAACCCATATCTGAATACATCTTTGAACTTGAATTCGAAAAAATATTTTTTTTAAATATGATAACTTGTTAAAAAAAAAATCTTATCAAATTTTAGCACTCAAGGTCTTTATTTTATCACTCAGATAAATTAAAACAATTCATGAATTAAAACAATTTGTTCAGTTAAGGCCAGGATGTACAATTCCACTAGACTGACATCCTGAGCTAGTAAAAAATATACAGTACATCTAAAAAAATGTCAAAGTCATCCAGAAACGGCAATCAGAACAGTTATTAACATATATATCTACAGTCCAGCAATGCACCTAGACTATTCCACAGTAATGAGACAGAGCTATCTACCTTTGTAGCTGGTCCATTGGCAGAATCGCTGAGGGACATCAGCAGGTACAGCACAGCCCATCTCTGCTTCAGTAAACCCTACATGTCAAATATATGCCAATTATAACAATAGCTTATAATGACAGTGTTCTTACACCGATGTTAGGATAACAGATAAGCCAGGAAAGATATTAAACTGACTTTACTCTTTTTGAACATAAATCTTTAGCTTATATTGATGGACACATTTACCATAGACATCGAGTGATAGACCTGCTATTGTTGACCTTAAAAAAACCACCATAACCTATTTTGTACAAAAGAAACAGAATTCATTGTATTTTATAATATATGATTTTGTTTTTGATGGTCTGGTAGACTATTATAGCCTGTGCAGAACACTGGACAGATAGCAAATAAACATTTCATTTAAGATTCCGCCACATAAAAATAGCATTTTCTTTTATTGTCTTACTATATTGAAAAGGAAGTAACATTTATTATGGTTATGATCCGCTTAAAAAATAAAGACAGAATTGGATTTTTTTCCTAGTATTATGTGGTGTGGCTTACGATCCTGTTAGCTATGCCAACTGTTGATAGCACTTACCTGTGCCTGAAGTTTCCTGTGTAGATCAGAAAAGATAGCTGCATCTTTCTCCCTGCCTTTCCGAACCACTGAAACAAAAATATAATTCCTGAATAAACAAAAATGACCTCAAAGGACAGCTTTCTGAAGAAGTATACCTGGCTTAAGTTTCGTGAATGTTCCCCAACATAAGTTTTCCATTGAAAACTATAGCTAATGTTAAGGAAACTTTTCATATTTCCTTAACTCCGCCCTCTTTCTGAGTATTCCTAGTTACGTCATCAATCCATGGCTGAGTAACCCAAATTTTGAAGAAAACACACAATAAATAGTTTATTGAGCTTTACTAGCAATGCAGAGTTTTAAAATTGGTATTTGCGATAGAATAATTACAATATACTGTCGCAATTGTCAAAATTAAGTAGGGTTATCCTCCATGGTAATTAAAATGTGCCAAAATCACTGAAAGAATCAATGATTTGATGAAGCTTTTGTGTATTTTCTTCGAAATTTCAAAATACAGTAGGGTTAACCCCTGAATATAAAATCACTAGAGGAAGTATAATAAAAAGCAGCCGAAAAATAATATCATTATCATATCACTATGACTTCTATGTTCGTGGCCTCTACATACCTCAAATGAAAAGTGAATGTTGCGTGTTATAGTACTAAACAATAACCATTTAATATAAATTCTATTCCAACTTTCTTACATTTTCTTTTGATTTTTTCTGTAACTTGAAATTCATTTGTTTCCACTGGAGATCCAAAATTACTGAAAATAAAGAAAAAATATGGTCAATAACAATACAATTTATTACCTAGTCAAAAGGACAGGCATAGGAATAAGGAAATATCAATCTGGAGATCTGATTATTAAATATTTCATCCTTTTTTTTAAATCCATAGAAAGTTAAGCAGTGTTTGACTAGCAGTAGACGCATAGACAACCAATATGAAAAACACTGTAGATCTATGGGAATTATTTACACCACAGACCAAGTTGTCTATGAAGTGATTTCCTATGATATATTTCATTCAGTGATAAATATAAAGTACAGTGTCGGAAAAAGTACTTGCCTTCCTTTAGTATTACACATATTTTTTTTATTTCCTGTTATTGAACACTAAATATGCAAGTAAAATTTCCTGGTATGGGTCTGGTCTATAAATAGACCTGTTTCTCACAGACCTATTGTCTATTTTGAGAAAATCCTACATTTGATTAAAGACATGTTCAGTTTGTTACGCCTGAATTTCAGCAAATATAAAAAGTTAAAAATTGTAACCATCAAATAACCTTTCACTAACTCATTTACACCCGAAGACACATTTGAACTCTTCCAATTCAAAGATTGGAATAGTTCATTATAAAATTTCAGGGGTGAATTAGTTAATATATATATATATATATATATTGGAACCCTAGAATACAAAGAAAACTTAAAATACTGTTTTACCTGCCAATTATTTTGAGAGAATGCTGTAACACTGGCAAAATGGAATCTGGAAAAAATGACAAAATGCGTATCAACAGCTGCAAATCTATTACATCTGATTACAACAAGAGTTGTCAATGAATGTTATTAATTACTGTAAAATGTAGTTTATAGCATTAAAATACTTATTTATTATAAATGTTTCTTACATTTTGTCACCCACTTGCACTATAACCCTCTTTTCATTTTCAAAAGACTTTTTTCAATATATCAGAGGTTTGCAGGTATATGTATCAGTAAAATGCCATCACTATCATTATGATCAATTAAACATAAAATCTGTATTACTGATGTTTTCCCCGACTTGTAAGTTCAGTTGTCAAATGAAAAGAATTCCAATAGCTGACGCCAGTAGTAAGATATGTATGTTGGAATGAGTGAACATTTTATGTGAAATCATAGGACAGACTAGATCTATATAACTTTTAAAAACCAACCTCCGGGCTAGTATTTTATCCATGAAATTTAAACCCCTACAAAAAAGGACATCAGGTTCTGGTAGTATCCAAAGGTTCGAGGCATAACAGTGTGGCCGGTTTTAATTGTACATATGATTATGGCACTTCTAGCTTCACGCTAGAGGGAATTTCCCTTTAGCTCAGTGGTAGAGCGTCCGACTAGGAACATATAGGTCGCAGGTTCGATCCCAGGTGGAAGCACACTATTTTCTTTCCTGTTACAAATGGTGTCCGTGGCCCACCCTTTGGTGTCAGGGAATGCGAACCTGGATTGTGGTGTTCAAGGGTGAACACATTTGAAAGGATGGGAGCAGTGAGGCAGATTTTAATTGTTCATAGGATTTTGGTCGCCTTCTATCTTCAAGCTAGACAGAATTTCCCTTTAGCTCAGTGGTAGAGCATCTGACTAGGAACATATGGGTCGCAGGTTCGATCCCAGGTGGAAGCACACTATTATCTTTCCTGTGTCGCTGTGACAAAAGAAACGATTCACTGAAATATGAAACAGTGACAATCCAGGTAAATAGAGGTCCCGTTGTTTAGTATCTCATTCGACATGTGCTCTCTCCAACCATGTCAACCTACCCTACCCCCCCCCCCCCCCCCCCCCCCCCCCCCCCCCCCNTACCCCAAGATTTTCAGCAACTGATGGTTAAGATTGACAAACTTTTCCACTCTACAATATAGTTATTAGCCCTAGTTCATTTTTAAATAACAGCAGTGAACGATACCCAGTGGTTTCAAAATTCACCGATTGTTCTTATTCTTAGCAAGTTCAAACCAACATAATTTTGACTACGTTAGAGTACCGTCTGATAATCCAGTTAATTTCATGCAAAGCTTCTTCAGTAATAGCGCTGAAGCCTCCGATCCTCTTTCTGTTCTGCTACCCATGACTGAATTTATGCTATCATTCGTTGTACGAGGAATTGTGTTTTCATCAGAATGTCATCTGGTCGCAGCCATATTTGTTTTGCCGCGCTATGGTGTTTACGCTTGTGACGTAAAGCTGGTCTTGTTTTCGTATTTTTCGGGGATGGTTCATAAAAACGGGAGTTGGGTGCAGCTGCCTAAATCTTAAATTGAATTTCTCTGTTTTTAATTTTACTATCAATTGATTATTTTGATTTTACCAACTTGTACTTTTTATTACAACTGTATGCAAAACCTGTCTAAACCGACTAATATTTCAGTGCAACATCGGTTGGGACGGTTCATGTCCGAACCCAAACCACGGAATTAGATGATCTAAGTCCGTGCCCAATAGAATCCGAAAATCTTGAATATAGGTCTATAATAAGTCAGTTTAAGAAACATTTACAGGTTCAGTTTATATCAAAATGTATTATAAAGATTTCTGGATGATTCAGTTCTATCTTTATCTAAGTCCGTAGTTCAGATTACACGATGATGGTTTTTTTTTTAATATTTCAAAATTATACAAGGATTTCTGGATAATATAGTGATGTGGTAAGATACGTTAAACTCGCTACGACCATTAATTTATCAGTATAAGCACGGAATTAGATTAGATCTAAATCTAAGTCCGTGGTATAAGTTAGATGTCCGCGACGTTGGAAAACAATACACGGACATAAATACCTTCGATGATTGTTATGATAACGTCATAATGGTTTTGATGCTGAGAGATCGATAGCAGTTGGAATACGGAGTCACGTAAATCTGTGTCATCTGTAAAACAAACACAAACAAACGTCCCAGAAAACCTACGACCGATCAGGCTAAATCAGTGTCAGGTTTCACGGCCTTTAACCAGTTCGGTGCCAAACCTGGAAATCTCCTATAATGTGTAACAACTCCACATGTACATTTGTTAGACTATCATATCGTTATATTCTAAAATAAAAAAAGGAAGAAGGGGAGGGGCGGACACAGAGAACGACAAGTTGCTAAATAAGATATTTCCTTTATTCGTGTCCCTTTAAAGTCGGAGAGACATTTTACTTAAAGCGACGCTGGCTTACTATCCGCGGACATCACTATTCGTGTAATAATAAACTTGAGGACTTTTGACAAGGAAAGCCTGATAGTTGAATAAGATTACTTTTCTTTTCGATTTAGAAATATTACAGTCTCTGTAGCCACCAAAACCTGGTTGCACTAACAGGAATATGTGACTCACTCTAATATTGCCAAGCCTGTGCTTATATAACAGAAGAGGAAAAATGCACGGCCAGACCAGGGTTCGAACTCGGGACCCTTCAAACTCCAGACGGACGCTCTACCAATTGAGCTACCTGGTCGCCAACGATCGACCCAGTCCAGTTCCGCTACACTTGAAAAAACACTGACTTTGTAATATTTTAAAAAGGCTATGCAGGCTTCTAAATTCTTACACAAGTTTCGTGAGATATGCATTGATTACTCTCACATACTTAAGGCTTTATATTATGTCTGCAGTTTGTGTAGAGTTACTTCCCTTAAAACTGTTCCACGAAACACAGTAAGGTAACTTGAAGCTTTAAACAAATATAGATCTGATATTGATCCTTTCGAAATATCTGCTAAGAAAAGTCGCTGGACAGACCCATAAATGAAAATAACATCAAGAAAATCATTTGACCTACATAGCTAAGTTAATGGTAAGGTAAATCTACATAGAAATAAATAAATAAAAAAATAAAAAAATAAAAATAAATAAATAAATAAATAAATAAATAGAAAAATGAATAAATAGATTAAATAAATAAATAAATAAATAAATATAAATAAATAACTAAATAAATACCATCAAGATGATTAAAGAGTTCCAGAAGGAAAAAACTAAAGTTACTTTCGAACCTAAGATGTTCGCATTCCTAGTCAGTTTGATAACGTTTTTATGTTTATTTTTTAGACCTTTTCTCTCACGTTAATCCCGTTTTATGCCGCTCTAGAAATGAAACTATTTTAACGATTGAAATCATAAAATTTTCATTATATTCTAATTCTACAATAAAACAGTTTACATTTAGACCGAAACAGATTTAATTGTTTTGAATCTTTGATGGTATTGAAACAAAACTGCATAATGGATTATAACAGGTTACTTAGACCACAGGGACCTGAGAATTCAGACACGATGGATATATTTGGATCTCTTCTGCTGTCGACCAAAGGGAGTAAAAATACCATTCGGCCCAGTTGTGGTATTCCTTTATACCAACATATATCATCATACTCTCTATGCATCAGGAGAGGTCAAAACATACATACTATGTTTTAATTTTCAAGTCCCTTTATACTAGATGATTGGAAAGACGAATCCATTTTCCGGAGACCTAAGGCTCATGTCTCTTTGGTCAGCTAATTTGTAATGGCAAAATTGACGGGAATTCCCTTATATTCCCTACACATCAGGACAGGTCTCCAAATAATATTGTTTCTAACATCCATGCCCATGTGCTATATTATCTGGGGATTTCCCAGAAGACGAGAGACTTCTCTTTTGCAAAGAAATGCGAGATTTTCCCCTTCCCCTTGGATCTATGACCCCCCCCCCCCCCCCCCCCTTTTTTTTTTTTTTTTTACCAATTAACAATTAAATTCCATTGTTACCCGCTTTTAAAGCTGTATCACACGGGGAGGCAGATTGAGTTCTTTCAGAGTCAGTATTCCCTAGCCGAGACCTATATTAAAACACTAGTTTATTTCAATTTATGGTTACCCTTTCGGGACCCTCAAGCTCATGATTTTTAATTGCAAAAACAACAGCAGCACCAACCTTTCCGACAAGTGAGGCAGAAGTTACGGGTTTGTGAGGCGTGCTCAGAAGCATTATCACCATGTTAAGATCGTTCAGTGAGATAAAATTAGACTAACTCGCCCATAACAAATAACCATTAAACCGACAAAAGAGGATAGAAATGGATTTTATACAAATAAACTGTACTGAAGCGGTGATATAAATCTCTATCAACCATTACCACCACTTAGTGACAGCAAAATATGGATAAAATGTAAAATAAATAGTTTTATTGTCTTTGATTTGTGAATGCTTGTGTACAGTGTTTTGATTTCATGGGGTCAGATTTTTCTCGGTTTTGGTCTCGGAGAAAACTCAGAGTTTAATTTCGCGTTAATTGCACTGTTAATAACCAAATTCCACTGGCAACGGCTGTCAGAAGGTAACATATTAAACGGGAGTATTGTTTTCAGGCCACGTATTTAGAACAAATTAGTATGTGCCATAATATTGGTTGTTCAAACAAATGAATTCAGCTTTGAATACAAATATAATTTTCATGTAAATAAATAAAATTGTACATTTCATTTTTTTTGTACAGGATTTTGCATCATAGCAACAGTCAAGTGTACCGTGAAGACAGTGTAACAGAAAATGGGTCCACTCCAGGGCCGCTACAAGGCCACTCCAGGACCACTCCATGACCACTTCAAGGTGACATCTAGCTCTAACCCGGACGCAGTAACAGATCGTTCCACAAGGTCACAATTACTGACAATAGACTCGCCATATCCAGGAGCGAAGGGAGACACTGCTAAACGAAACAGTAGACAGAGGAAAGTAAAATATGGAGGTGCCAAGTGTTTGCAATTTGACAGCAGATCAATTTTGTTTTTTCCCATTTTGGCATGAGCAGAATATACAGAAGATAACCTCCGATACTGCAGAGGGTTCCCCGCATTAATTGCCTCAAATATCGGTATATGACATGTCCATTCTTTTCCTCGAGCACACACAGGTAATTTCATTGCAAATTAATATTTTTCAATGGCACAGTATATGAAATCTTTATCTGTACGAATGAAAAAGATATCTTTTATATTCTTTTATGTTTTACATATCATATATTTCAAGAATCGCTGTCCAATAGCAGCCAAATCAATGAATAATTCAAACTTAGCTTTTCATATATATATATATTCATATGCAGTTACCTCCCCTTAATTTCATTTTGATTATGCAGGGCTAGTGATCTACCATTGACGAAGTAGCTCAGCGGATTAGAATGACGGTATTGTGATCGGAGGCCCAGGGTTCAAATCCCTAGCTAATCCTGGTGCAATTTTCAAATGCTCTTAGAACACTAATTTTTGTTATTTCACGTTTGTAAATTTTCATAAAAGGTCTGCAAGACATCGATTCAGTGATTCCCATTTTTGTTCTGTGTGTGTGTATCTCCCTCTCGATAGGCTGCATGATGCGTTTATCACTTCGTTGTGAAACTCTGCAGTCAATTAATCACATTTTTACAAGTCATACGATTATATTTGCTGCTCATGCAAATTTCAATAAAAAGGGGCCGCGATGGCTAAGTGTGGTTACGGCGTCTGACATTTTGCTACCACTAGTCCTCCACCACTGGGTCGCGGGTTCGAGGCCTATCTGGGACAGTTTCCAGGTACTGGCAGTAGGTCAGTGTTTTTTCTCCGGGAGTTCCGGCTTTCCTCCACCATCAAAATCTGGCACGTCCTTAAATGACCATAGCTGTTAATAGGACGTAACACACAGTCTAGGATTCGAACCATAAACCTTTATATTTTGATATATTTTCTCGTTAAGGATCCTCGTATCGTTGCCCAAAACCGCTCTAAACTGCACATTAGAACATGATTTCATCTTTGAATATTAGTCATTTCTGAAAACGTAAAAACTATCAACAAAATATACAGTTATCTCTTATGTAGTTTTGAGGGTCAAAATGCAACTGGAACAGGCCCGAGATCGAACCCTTTACCTCCGACCATAGTGCTGTCTCTAGATACCAGAAAAATTTCTTTAAAGTCGTCTATATGAAACAGAAACATTAGCTCTCATACGAAATGAGTTACTTGGACAGCGTTGTTATCCACAAAACAAAATTAATATGAAGTTACTGATGTTATAATAGTGTAACTCTTTGGCGTTTTACCTACAGAGGGACATGGCTCTTAAATGAATTAATTGTACAATATATCGACTTTGTGTATTGCAGAGTTATCTTCTCTTGTGATCAGGTATTGATTGTTACGTCATTGGTTTGTGTGAGAAAATTATGTCGTTTTCTAAAAAAATATATGACGTTACTCTCACAAACAAACGACGTGACAATCAATACCCGCTCACAAGAGGAGATAACTCTGCAACACGCAAAGACGGAATATCGACTAAACGGATATTGGCTTATATGTTAGTATTTTATCATATATAATCGATTATCACAATATGTCATTAAAACACCAATAACTGTTGATGTATATCTGGGCTCTTACTCCCAATAATGATGAAGGCTTAATCAAGCGCAAAGTAAATACATGGATCTGAGTATAGCTGATGCCGATCAAAGGTAGATAACCCATTATGTACATTTATAAACTTGATAGACGGACAGGTTATTTGATGGAGTGAATTCGCAAATAACTGTTAGAAGCGTCGTTCGGCAACATTAACGTTCACCTAGCAATGCCATAAAACATTGGTTGATTAGTTAAGTGTGAGGGAGCCTTTGCTTTGACTGTGGTAAATGGGGACTAGGGTAGGAAAGGGGCACGGCGACACAGCGATCAATATAGCACACCAGATCACATCTATCGTCGTACGGGGATACAGCGTGTCCGTCCCTGGTGGCTAAGGTGACGAAGTCTGTCCGTACTTCAATAACACATGGTGCGTAGTGCGTCAGTGTCTTCGGTCTGTCGGCGTGTGCAGCATGACGCATAGGACATAGTATGTCTGTTCGTCCGTCTGTGGGACCCTTCGCAGGTTCGGGAATAGAATAGACACTGTAAGTACATAAGAGGCGACCAATGTTGAAGGTGGTCGGGTGGCGCAGTGGATAGCGCGCTTTCCTTTCCCCGGGTACTCAGATTTCCTCCCACATTAAGACACACGCGCCCTAAAATCAAGGCAAACAAAAGTGATTATTATAAGTTGTAAAAACTTGTTTCAAAATTGTTTTAATCTAAATTAAATTTAGATATATAGGTGTCTCCCTAGGTATCCGCCTCCATATGACCTAATATTTTGCTAGGACGTACAATCCCCTAATACACGTTCTTGGACACCTAACGTTCACACGCGCGCCGTCAGTGCGACCGCATGGTGGCTAACTAGGACACTGTCCGTGTACAGTGTGCCTCATGATGGTTACTAAACCGTTCGTCTGTCTATACGTCCGTATGGGTGACCGTGTGAGTCTATTTCATGATGACTTGGTTTGTTCGTCCACACATCTGTCTCTGTGAGGGCACCTCATAGTTGCCAGATGCCAATTGAATCGTCTAACAGACGTGGATACCTCATGGTAAATGACGTTCTCTGCTTTAAGACGTCACAAAAATAGCTTTCAACTCGAGTCGGCTTGGCACCATACGCTAAAAACGGATACCTTGTATGCAGTATCTCTTGGCATGGAGACCGTTTTGCTCTTATCGATGGTTACCTATGACTGAACTTTAGTTCACAACACAGAATTGAAATATACTGCTGGTGTACTCCACATAAACGCTCATTACTTCCACATACCGGCGTCAAAGTGGTGCGACAATTTGCATGTATACAACAGTTCGATCGATGTCATGCGCTATTCAGTTTGAAGCTCAAAGAGAAGCATACTGGTACATATTGCTTGTTTAAACGGCGTCTATAACCTTTAATTAAATTTTGATATTAAGCCTCCATAGCGGCGTGCCGTCAGGAGAAATTAATTAGTGTAAAAGTACAAATCGTAAATTGTATGAAGTCATGACCAAATTGCGTTAGGAACCCAAAGAAAGGGTGTATACTCGCCGCAATGCATCTGCCAGGATACGGAATAACTGTTCAATAGTCAATCTTATTGCAATGTAAATCAAAGCGAATGAACTGAAGCACTATAAGTCAATGTTTCGCCTTCATCAGAACAGTTGTTGCTCGTGCATTAATTGATATCGTGCATATCGGCTGAAGAGGTCAACACTAAGAGGCAAATCCGAGACAATAACACTTCAAAACTGATTAATTATAGTAAAATCAATACTGTGATAAAATCGATCCAAAATGAATTGATTTCCAAATCCTGGCTGATCCTGGGAATTTGGAGTGAACGACACTGCACGAGCTAGCAAGGCGACGCTGAAGACAGGAAGCTTAAGGTCGAGGGAGTGGTGAAGCGTGAAATTATGTTCTTCCCAGTTGATGTCTTATTGGGGAAGCGTGATAACTTTCAGAAAGAGTAGACAGACATCAACAGCGTTAAATGTGTTTACCGAAGGCTGGAGCAAAACTTTGAGATATTCTACGAGACAATTTTTTCAGTGTCAGAATTGATTAAGAGAATGCTATAAAAATCCCAAAACTACAGTATTTTGTCTTGTGTCTTGAAAGACTGGTCTTCTGAATATCGTAAAAGGAAATTATTCTGTTTGGCGGAATTTCTGGTTAGGAAAGAAACTGAAAAATTGTGAATCGTGAAACGGGAAGTTCAAGTTATGACATCATCAGAATTTTTACACGTGCTACCTGGACAGCACGTGTATGACGACGTCTTGTTCTTTGGTTACAGCCCTCCTGATGTACTGGACGCGGTCAAGGAATTCACTGTTAGGAACGATGACGTATTCATTGTGACGTACCCCAAAGCAGGTGAGTGAACTGGACATTTTCAATTTGAAATACCTGTAAATCGAAAACGACGTCAGATACTGTCATTGATTTATGTTTCGTGAACTGTTATTTTTTAATAACAATGCTCCTTTAATCGATCATTTGGAACATTTGTTACATTGAAACCAAATTATTAAAACGAACAAAAATTCCATGAAAGCGATCTCAATTTTTTTTTTATCTTAAGACACTGTTATGGATGAATGTATATAACAACAGCCCTCCTGGTGTACTGGACGCGGGAGGGCTGATAATTCAGCGTATTTATCTAATTTTCTGAAGAGCGAAACGAGGAGTTTAAAAAAAACTTTGTGTTCATTCTCATATGTTTGCAAGCTTCAAACCTTGACGCTGTTTTAAATCGAGGACAGAAGTCAGATTATAGTCATCTAGCCAATTTCATATTGATACTAAAATAAGGAAAAAACTCGGTGCATGTAGTTTTTCAAAAACAAATGCTTTCAAACCTACATTAATTTTCAATAAACTGTGATATTTTTGGTCATAGGAACAACATGGATGCAAGAGATTCTCTGGCTAATCATGAACGCGGGAGATTTTGAGGGCGCCCACAAAAAGCCAGTCTACTTCCGGTCACCTTTCTTGGAGTTCAAGGACGACATTTTGAACGAGGTCGGCCTTGAACTTGCTGAACCCCTGCCATCGCCACGTGTGATGAAGACACACCTCCAACCCTCTATGCTACCACGGACCATTGCACAGACTGACTGCAAGGTTGGTATACTTTAACTATTAACTATTCAGATGTAAATTAATTTGGAAAATATTACGACAATAAACATCGCGTATATTTTCAGTAAGAAGAAAACACCCAACGCACCAAAAGGTGTTTTATATGTCTATATTATGAAACCAGAAATAAAACTTCAAGAAGAGCTACAATAAAACCAGCCTAGTTCGACACTACTGAGGAAATAGTTCAGTATAAACAGGTGTTCGGATTACGCTGGTTGAATTTATACCATCGCGTATAACTTCATTAAGGAACAAAAACATAACGTACTAATATACTTGTTTTGTATGTCTATATTATGAAACAAGAAAAGAAACATTGAGAACAGCTACAATAAATTCTGCCTAGTACGAACACTACTGAGAAAATATATCAGAATAACCATGTTTTTTGGATTACGCGTGTTGAAGTCATACTGTTAATACATTGTTCGGTTTAGACTGGTCAAAATTTGCCTGATTATTTATTTATTTGTATAAGCCATATATTATTTGATATTTGAATTATTGTATCTTTAATTGAAGATTCCGAAAACCGTATCAATACGCGGGATGTCATTTTAGCGTAACACTTTCCACAGTTGATAATTGAAGTTTCTAATTTACCGGACAGATAGTACTTGTGTTCCGGAATCCTAAGGATTTGTGCGTGTCTTACTACCATTTCTACAAGTCAAGTTCGTCCGTCGGCAACTTTAAAGGCACATGGTCGGAATTTCTGGAGATGTTTAAAGCTGGCCACGGTTGGTATTTACACGTATCTCATATTTTTGTTATAGACACTTTTTACCAGATCAGTTTTATCGTATACATTCTTCACACGTTAAAACAGAATGTTATTGAATCCCTTGGTCAATCAATATTCTGTGATATTTTTAAGGTTACTGTAAAAATGATTTTTTTTTGCGGTGACAAAATTTCCACTGATTTCACATTTTACAAATTAACCCGAAAATATGTGCACTTAACCATATTGAATTATTGTATAATATATATAACATTTTAATGCCGACATGAAAATTGCTTCAAAGCAAATAGTTCGAAAATTCAAAAGCGCGAAATGTTCATACTAAGACAGAAAGCTTTAACACATATTGTAATATAAGGGGCAACATATATCTTTAAATAATAACAACATACCTGTTACTATTAAATTTATAAATGGAACTCCCTGTTAATAACCTGTTTACAGCACAACCCCGAAAATGAGGTTTAGAGAACAGCTGATTGCTCATGTGTAGTATTCACATTACAATTTTTTATCATTTCTTGTCGGAAGCTGCACAAATTTATCATAAACTTTAAAAAAAACACCACTTATTTCTTTTTCTCCAAAAACAAAATGTTTTAGCACAAGAAAACTTGAACTGTCCAGCTCTGCAAGTTTACGCAAGATAGGAAATCAATGCTCTAGTTAGAAAAAGAAATGACAGGTTTCCCCAAAAGTATGGACCCACATTAAGACATACAATTGTATTTCCGCAAACTTTAATTTACGGTCAAAAATCTCACGATCTGAAAGTAAATAAGAAAAAGGTTAGCTGCATTTCACGAAAATGCATTCCTAGATTCAAAACCCGAGACATCTTGTGATATTTTCGTAAATTACGTTCGACTATAGTTGTTTGGCCTTTATATAAAATGCTGTCAATAAATGACTACCAATGTAAACAAGGCGGAGTGANCTCTTCGGGGAATCGAGACGGCGTATGAACAGATCACATTCTATTTTCATCAATTCCCACGTGGAGTATCACGTGACACATGTACAAAATGAAACTCACACGTTAGACTCCGATGCATCAATTTCTTACGACACCAGCAGCAGTATTTACTGATAACTAAAGTTCAGTGTGACGCTCAATCTGATTACTGTATCAGGTCAATTATTCATCATGTCTGACACATCTTAATTAATCTAAGACTCAAACACACGAACATGTCAGCATATTTTTCATTGCATTTAATTAGATGGTTGTGGGAACTTGACAGCCGCCTATCACAGGGACTTGAGAAACCATCATTGAACGTCGGGGTGGATGGACTACAAAATGGTGTTGATAACTCCTAACACGTCTTATCATACTCACTGCACTTTAAAGTATGTCCAAGACACATCATATTATTGATGCCCTAGTCCCTATGTCACGGCGTGGTATAATTTTTTTCCTGTTTCATCTCAAAGTTTGTGTTGATGTCAACTCCTAAAACATCTAATAATACTCATTACACTTCAAAATATATCAAAAACACAATGTAATCGATGCTCTGGTCCCTGTGTCACAGCGTGGTATATAGTTTTTCCTGGTCAAACTCAAAGTTTGTGGGAAAACTCCCAGAATGCTATATTGTCGTTTCTAAAAAACAAACAACTAAACTGTAGGCCATATACTATGATGTCTAGAAAACTGGTATACTATCTATATTACTAGCCAATATTGATTAAATAACTAGTATCTATTAATTTATTGTTGTGACAGTGGACCATGGTTCCTGGTTTGACTTCACTCGGCTTTGGTGGGAGCAGAGAGATAGCCCAAACGTCAAACTGGTCTTCTACGAGGATATGAAACAGGTGAGCAAGTATTCCTATCAATTAATAACGTTTTGCCAATAGTTTAACGCTATCTGTCTATTCCGTCTTTTCGTATTGCAGGGTTATCTGCTCTTGTGAGCCGGTATTGGTTGTTACGTCATTTGTTTGTGAGAGTAACGTCATAAATTCTTGAGAAAACGACGTAATTTTCTCACACAAACTAAAGATGTAACAATCAATACCTTCTCACAAGAGCAGATTAATCTGCAATACGAAAAAGACGGAATATATTCCTTAGAATGGCGTCTTGATCGGCACCTCGGACTATTTTAATGGTGGCATATGTTCGAAACAAAAGGCCTGCTGTATCCCATTGTACGTCATCGTAAGAGGCGACTAATGGGGGCACCACTGCAGAACAGGCCTTTTCTATGTCTTCTGCTAAAGGACACATCGAAAGAACAAAATTGACCCATTGCTCCCATTGCAAAAAGTGGGATCTATATTTGTTTTTTTCTCCACTTTCGGTGGTGTCCCCAAAGGCACCAATCCTCACAGGACTTTAGATGTTGGAAACATACATTGATATCCTTGACAACACTGCCGTCTAAAAAGTGGAACAGCCCGTGGTATTTTCTTTTAGAAAAATGATATTCACATGCCGCTCGTAAACTGTCTGCACCACAAGTGTTGATGCTCTTGTGATATGGCTTATTATAAATATTATGATTCTTTGCTGCCCTCAAACCCCAACACAAGGGTATCAGCCTTTACATTTGGTCATCAGTTACATATAGCTATGCTATTCGCACCAAACATGTATAAAACCTACATGTACGAAATCGTTCCGCTGTGTTGCAGTCGGCATATTATACGATCGATCTAAATTCTAGTATTTGTGTTTCTGGAACAAGTCCACAATATGAATCGATATCCTTACTCATAAAATCGGAGCCATTTATTCTTTTAAAAAATATTTTCTATTTAATATTCAAATGTTAATTTTCATGTAATCTAATTTATCGAAAACAGAATATGTATCTCGGCACGGACTTCTGGTTCACAATAAATATCGGCATATCTGACTGGTGTTTGTCTCGAGAGTTATTCTATAAACTGGTTTATGCTGAAGTTTTCAGTGAGATATCGACATTTTAACTTAGGTTTAGTGTTATATGGCACAGAAATGGCATCATTTGCATATAACATTTAATGTTTGCAGGCGTAAGTAAGGTATCCGTCTAGTTCTACTAGGTCTTTATTTCCTGTGTCTCCATTTGCATTACACCAGGCTACCTTTCCAAATTATTCAATATCAGTGTTTAAGATTGTAAGCGAAATATGCAACCGACATTTAAAACTAGGGTTAGGCTTACCTTTAGCCCGAGTTTCCCCTGTTTCCAAAAAACAGATTTTGCTGTATATTATTTATCTGTAAAAATGTTTGAAAAGGTCCGATGTTGGGCCAGAGGAAACGCGGACTGGCTAACCTTATATCAATCTTTCTAAATTTACAGCTACTTAGAATCTAGTTACTCCATTTCGACCCATGTTAATGGTTTCGTCGGAGACAAAGGATTTATTTCTATAGCAGTTTTTATTGGACGTATTTGAATGTTTCATAAAAACTTTAGCATTTAAGTAACTATAAAAAGCGTTGAACATTTTGCCATTGACACATTTCGAATTCTTTTGATGATTGTAAAAAGAGGTATAGGCAAAAGCAATCCAACTTAGCATATATTTACAATTATATTCTCGTTTAGGTGAGATATTTTATGCTTTACAGGTACCTTAAATAATATTTGATATATTTTTTGTTTGCATTGCAAAAAAATGAAAATGAAACCCCCAAATTGAAGTTGCTTCCATAGCATTATGATATGCATTCATTGCAAAATGAACGCAAATGAACATAACCCTAATAACACTTTCGAACAGAACCTACCGGAAGCAGTAAAGGGTCTGTGCGAGTTCCTGGATAGGCCACTAGACGATTCCACGGTACAGAGGATCGCGAAACACTGCGAGTTCAGCAGTATGAAGAAGAATCCAATGACTAATCACCTGGATGTGTACTCCATAGACAGCAAGATATCTCCTCTTCTCAGGAAAGGTACGTAATTATGTACCCCATAGAGAGCAAGATATCTCCTCTTCTCAGGAAAGGTACGTAATTATGTACCCCATAGACAGCAAGATATCACCGCTTCTCAGGAAAGGTACGTAATTATGTACCCCATAGACAGCAAGATATCTCCTCTTCTCAGGAAAGGTACGTAATTATGTACCCCATAGACAGCAAGATATCACCGCTTCTCAGGAAAGGTACGTAATTATGTACCCCATAGAGAGCAAAATATCTCCTCTTCTCAGGAAAGGTACGTAATTATGTACTTCATAGACAGCAAGATATCACCGCTTCTCAGCAAAGGTACGTAATTATGTACCCCATAGAGAGCAAAACATCACCTCTGAAAGGAACTTCGTTTGAGAATTTTATCTATTGCAACCAAACGTTCAAATAGTTTTTACTTAAAGATATTTATAGTTTACACTTTAAGTTTGTCCAATTTGTTTGTTTTAACAGATATGGTCAGTCAAGGACATGCCAGGGTTTACCTATATAGGAAAATTTCATGTTGAAAGGGAGAGAAATCTTGTCATAGAGCTGGATGGTATTGGACATCTGCTCTGTCGAATAATCGTCTTCACTTAATTTGTTTTACATATATGTATATTATATTATATTTATATATGTATTACACAATGTTCAGTAATAATAACAAGTTCAGTTTGTTATAGCACATATAAATGTATTTGTCCATGATATTTAAGGTTCATATATTCAATTATGATGTAAAAAAGTCCACAGGTAATTAGCAAGGGATAGACTATGCTCGACATTAATATTACTCATATTTTTGTTTTTGACATTTTAATTTATTCACAGTTCAAACGTAATTTTAGCACTTAAACTCCTTGTTCGTCGTGTTTAACGGTTTTCGACTCTGTAGTTCAGCGGCCATTCATATTAAACTTAACCTACTTTTTAGTGTTTGTCAAATTTTGTGCAATTATACAGCCTTTATGATAGCTATTGATATTGTTACGTTGTGGACATGTATAACACGTTCTTTTTCAGTGATTCTCATTTCACCTTTCTCCGGCCAGTCACAGTTGCTCCAGGACCTGTTGTCCGATGGATCTGATAGCTAGCGTTCGGGAAAACGACGTTGCTATGTTGCAATATCGAACTCATAATCATATTTCCCTCCTTAGGTAGCAATGTACAGTAGAAATGGCTTGACCCTAAATTTAAAGGCATGTATCACATAAACATGGATGGTGAATTCAAACTGCACAACACACCTACATATATATACATATTTATAAACTACATTTTGATTTCATTTTGTTTAGAAGACTGATTTTTTTGTCAAAAACTGTTTTCCCCAGATTTGGGACTTGTGAAAACTATGGTTACCACATCGAAAAACACCCAAATATGCAAAATATCATGATTTTTAACCCAAAACTTGACCCCTGCAAGTAGAATTGCTTTTCATAAAACGTGTCTAAAATTAAATATCGCCTACTCGGTAACAGAAATACTCACGTTTTAGCATAGGTCATTCCGGTGGATTTTTCACAATATTTACACATGTGCTGAGTACAAAAATAGACTACATGAAAAGCTAGCTTTTGTTGTGTAGACACAGATTTGTAAATGCCCAAAACAATATTTTTAAACCAAATTCGATTTTTTTTTTGAAAAAATATGAAGCCCACATAGTCCACTTCATCATGTATATGCAAATTTTAGTGCTGATTTTTTTTTTATAATTTTGATACATGTTATATTACAGGGGTTATTCATTGTATAAAAATATCACCCATTACATGGCCATCGTACGCTACTGTACACTGCTACCTTACGGAATGCAAAAAAACAGTCAAAACTTATTCTGCGACAAACTATTCCATTACATCGAATTTGGTTTCTACCGTTTAGTCCTGTTTTGCCGTATTGTATTGATGGTTTTGTTTAAGAGCGATATAAGATAAAATAATAAAACCCTGACATTTCAGGAGAGGTCGGAGACTGGATGAACTACTTCACGGTCGCACAGGACAAGGAGTTCGAGTCTTTCTACAACGAGAAACTCGGGGCATTGGAGATACCGTTTAAATACCAACTGTGAATGTGCAATGGCAGACTGCGTTAGACATTCTTCCCAATGTGAACCGTTAACTGGTGGTGTCGCCTCGCTTCGTATACGACAAACTAGACTGGTGGCCAGTCCTTCGTTTTTGAGAAGAATTTTCCAGCTACATTTCCTACTAGCTTATCTCCCCTGGTTTGAAACTTATACTGGTACCAGTGACCAAAACTTTTCTGATTAATTCAATTTCACTAGACGGTGGTCAGTCTAGCCTCAAACCTACCATAAACAAGTTTTCCAAATTGGATTCCATTTGATCTACTATTTTCAAATTTGTGTTATCTTGCTGATCTTAGGTGAATAATTTCATGTTTTGTTTGTCATTTTCAAAATATCTGCTCATAATTCGACGCTGTTCTCGTATTAAGGTCGAACCTAGTTAAATCAGCTGCCGCTGCTCAGATTGTACCACAATCCCATCTTCAAATTTCCAGGGGTTATGTCCTCTTACCCGCCCCCC